TGCAGCGTTAAAAATCACCTTGTTCAAGTTATGCAAAAACATTAATATATACAAGCATCCAAAAAGCAATACAAAATCTCTGCTTTTGACCTAGGTTTGCAGAAAGCATTGTGTACTTCAACATACTTTAACTGCTTGAGTGTAGACATACTTAACTATCTAATTTACAGGTCTTAGCTCTATTCAAGCAAAACTATGGCCAAGAGGACACAGACCATTTTCCATGCCAGCTCAAGTTAGGTCTAATCTACTTAATTAAAAGAAGCCCATGGCAAATGCACTAGGTCCTTTTTCCAGGTGTTTAACTATCAGGAACTGGCCTGACAACATTTCATTTCATATGTCACTGAACTCCTGGAGAGTCTATAAGGCCAGCTTGAGTATCTGATATTCTTGTCTTGGTTTTAAAGCTACAATTTTTATCAAAAGCCACAAGCTTTGTCCATGAGCATCAATTCTCTTACCCATAAAACTTCAAGACTGAAAAAGCTCCAAGCAAGAAGCATCAACATTTTTGCCTTTCACCTTGTGACACTGTAAAGTTCATTCTTAATAAAACAAAATAACTATTGCATACCTGGCTTGCTCACGAAGTAATTTTTCTTTTTGGTGCTTCTGCTCTATCAGAGCTTTTCTATGTCTCATCTCTGCTTTTTGTTTCCTTTCCTCTGCTTGCTTTGCCAGAGCTTCTAAGTCAGGTTCCTTAACATTAAAATATTGTAATCACTTAATAGAGAATTTCACTCACTCATTAACAGTATGATATTTCAAATTACATACTGCTGGTAAAAAGCACAAGCTCTAAACTACCTTCTACTGTATTAGGGTAAAATACTCTAGTATTAAACTTTTTCTTTTCTGCCATCTTCATTTTCTTCTTCTCCATCAAGAGCAGAACCTGCCACATCCCTCAGCTAATTTAACCAAATATTGATGTAGAAATTTTTAATTCTAAACGTGACATTTCTTCTGCATCAGTTTGATGAAAAGGATAATTAAACATAGTTATTTAAACACCCTGTAGCAAATGCAAAGAAGTTACTCTGAAGAAGAAGCTGCTCTGAAGTGTTACTACCCTTCAGTCATCAACAGAAACATTTATTATTAGTTCTCTGGTCCTATAACACTGCTTCCACAGTTTTTTCCTAACTCGCCCATCCTAGGATCAGAAAGGATTTTATAAAGAAGGGATTGATTTAAAGACACTGATATATGGAAAAATATAATGCTATTTTACTTGGGTTTAAAGATCCTGAATAAATCAGGAAGTAAGCTACTCTGCAAAATCCATATAAGAGATCTATGGCTGGTTTCTATAAACCTGATGCAAAGTCAAACCTATAGAAAAATTCTAACCAGCAACCTCAATGATCTCTCTAGCAGAGATTACACAACTTACAGGATTTTAAAGAAAGTGAAACCAGTTTATAGGAGCAGAATTAAAAAGTGACACCTGTCTGCAGTCCAGGCAAAGGCCTCTGAAGCCCTTACCAAGGCTTTCCATGTCACTGCAGCATTGAAGGGAAAAAGAATATTAAGTATATTTACTTAACACAGAGAAGATCCATGGTGGAGAAAAAAAATACTGTATTACTGGCATAACTGGGATACGGAGTCATTATGTACAATTTACTCAAGTACAAACATACATGATCATACAACCTAATACAAACAGAGTAACTTTAAAGTCTGCCCAGCAAAAGCCTTCACAGATAGGCCCACAGACTATCATGCAGGAAGATACCTGCAAAAAAATACATAACCACTTCTGAAACATTTCCATTCCTAAAAAGTTATCTATTTAGGTATCAGGACTTCAAAATCAGGAATGTTAAAGGAAAAACAAGCCAACCAGAAATTTTGGTATTTCTAAAACATCAAAATTGTCTCTGACAATATATACTGGTATTGGCTGGGATAGATATTATTTTTTTTACAGTGGGTGGTATGAGGCTGTTGCTTTGGATTTGTCATGAATACAGGGTTAATAATACAGAAATGTTTTTGTTATTGGTGAACAGGGCTCACACAGAGCCAAAGGCCTTTTCTGCTTTTTGTGCTGCCACACTGGTGAAGAAGTTGAAATGGCTGGGAGGAGACACAGCCAAAACAGGTGACCCCAACTGCCCAGAGGGCTATTGCTTACCATCTGACAGCATGCTCAGTACATAGAGTGGGGGGAAGAAGGAGGACAGGGACAATGTTTGGAGTGATCATGTTTGTCTTCCCCAAGTAACCGTTACCCATGATGGGCCCCTGCTGCCCTGGAGATGGCTTGAACACCTGCCTGCCCATGGGAAGCAGTGATTTAGCTGCTTCTTTTGCTTTGCTCTGTATGTGGCTTTTGCTTTCCCTATTAAACTGTCTATATCGCAACCCATGAGTTTTCTGGCTTTTACCCTCCTGATTCTCTCCTTGATCCCACTGGTGGGGGAGTAACTGTCTGGTGCTTGGCTAGTGGCTGGGGTGAAACCATGACACAATAATATTAAGCTCACTTACGTTCTCCTTGGCCTGTCGGTGACCCTCCCCGATTGCTCTTAAGCTTGATAGATAGAGCTCTTCCAGGGCTTTCATCTTCTCATCCTGTGCCTTCTGCCATTCCGCTCTCAGTGCTTCCTCTAACTGATGCAGTTGTTCTTCTCTCCTCTGCTTTACCTTCTGCCTTATCTGGTAGGAGATATACTTCTGCTGCTCTCTGACCTGTAGAAATAGCAATTATGTTTGTCAGCAATTCAAGAAAAGCACAATACTTTTTGCAGCAAGACTTTCCACAACATAGTCTACCCTTCATCCAGCTCATGTACTATTCCATTCCTAATCTGTCTAGAAAACACTTTCAAATTGCTGTTACCTTTCTCCAAAATTAATATATAAAATAATAAATTTGACCTTAATTAGATGCTTCAGTTAAAGTCCAAAAAGTGACATACAAGTGACAAACAGCAAAAACTGCTTGGAATATTCTTCCCTCCAAAAACACAACACAATAATTTATGAGACGCTCCTATTACGATTCAACATGGTTTAAAAAAATTCAACAACTATACCAAAAACTTTGCAAACACAGTTTATTATTTTTCACATTATATTTTAGGCATTTTTTTCACAGAAAGGGTTGTCAAGCACTGGAGCAAGCTGCCCAGGGAAGTGGTTGAGTCACCACCCCTTGAAAAGTTCAAAGGACATGCAGATGTCATACTTAGGGACATGGTTTACTTGTGGACTTGGCAGTGCTGGACTAGCAGCTGGACCTGACAATCTCAAGGGTTTTTTCCAACATAAAAAATTTCACCATTCTACAATATTATTACCTTGAAATTTAGCTTACAGGAAATAATATTTTCAGTTACTTTTCTTAAATTATTTGTTACATCGTCAAATGAAATACAACGCATGGAAAAATACAGGCATACTTGTTGCAGCCTTAGTTTTCTTCTTCTTTCATATTCTTCCTTCAGAAACATGGCCTCTTCATTAGGACTAAGCCTCAATGTCCCAGCTGCTGCAAGTTTCCTCCTCATCTTTGGATATGCTGAATAATCAACTTCTGTGAGAACAACGCAAAGAAAAAGAGAAATTGTGCATAAATGACACTGGCAAAACAGCTATAAAAACAAGATACTGGCATAATGTTGTCAAATCTATCATGGTATTTATGTGTCAGAGCTACAACTGCTCACATCTGTCCCAACTGGAGCAGGACTTGACAATATGAGAAATCTTTTCCAACCTTAATGACTCTTAACTGTAATCAATAGCATTGGCTTTGTCTTTGTCACAGTCACAAAAGATAATGCTTTTGAACTACTTTGAGTTATGTACCAAACACTGCAAAAGCATCACAGTCACAGTCTACTCTGTGGACCAGCCACAAACATTTGCAAAGTGAAGAGTGGACACCATTCCACTCCAGGGAAGATTTAAAAACAAGCCCACAAAGTACTGAAAGGCGCACCCCACAGTAAAGCAGGCTGGTCACTCAGGTGATCTCTACTGAAATACTCTCATAACTGTTGTAGAGATGAAGTAAGATACAACAGCAAATTTGTTGATGTTTTTGGCTGCACTCCAAGGTTTTCTGCCATACAGGCTCTGAAACTCTAGCAACAGCCTGTGTACCAAACATTTCACTGGAAAGCTGAAACTGCTCACTAACGATTTTTTATTCAACTTTTCCTAACAAGACAAATTTCCAATTATGTTTCTCTCGAGATTTTACTGTGAAACAAGAATCTTCTAGTTCTACAGACTGCTTCCCATTTTCCTTGTAATTACAATTTTCATATGCACAAAAAAACCCCAAACAGAAAAAAAACAAAACAAAAAATCCACCCCCCCCCCAAAAAAACCCCAACCAACCAACCCCAAACTTCTTCCATCTGATATGCAGCCTAATCTAAAATTCCCCTCCCCCCAAATCAAGCAAGATTTTTACTGGGTCTTTAAATATTTATAACCCTGGAAATATTCGCACGATACAAGCAAACAGACTTTCAAAAGTCACTGCTTAATTCTAAAAAAAAACTAGTGAGCAATTCATATAGTACTAACAGTGTAAACAACATGCCACACCTGGAATCAATTGTTATCAGCAACATATATAGTGATCTTGGTATAACTAGAGACACAGTATCACAGATAAAACAGCAAGTCTGTAAAGAAATCAGGTGAGGTGCAAAGCCGGAGATCCGCAAGATACTTTTGGTACAGGGTTATTAAAGCAATTTACAGCAAAAAGAGGGGCAGTAGCGTCCTAGTTCCTGCCAGTCCTCCCTTAGTCACACGATGAGGTACAGAAGTTCAGCACGGCATGAAATTAAGTAGCAAATTACTACATTCTTTCTTTCTTTCTAGAGGAAAAACGTAGAGGATGACCAATGAATAGCCTGGACCTAAAGGATAAGAGCAGAGGCAGAGATTGCCGCGCTTGCCCGGCTCAGCCGCAGCACAACGCGGGTGCTGCAGGCCGGAGACGGCCCCGGGTCNTAAGGCCATCAGAGTTCAAGGAGCAACTGGGCAATGGTTTAGTTTTAGGTAATCCTGGGAGAAGCGGGGAGTTGGACTTGATGATCCTTCTAGGTCTCTAAATTTGAAATATTCTACAATTATCAATTTTCATGTCTGTCACACCCAAGACAGGATTCTGAGTTCTTTTTGAGCTGACAATGACCTCAGCCTTCTATTTTTTTTCTCAACCATATTTTTAAGTAATATTTAATACACACTGATCTTTCAGTGGATGTTGACATCAACACATTAACACTCCAGAGATCTTTTTAAGCACTAATTTCCTCTGTATCAATACAAGAATCACCGGGTACTGAATCATGAACGCCACTGGCCTGCCCAGAACAGGTTCCCACCTGGAATACCTGCAAACCTTTACAGTTATAGAGGTTGCAGATGAAAAGCATATGCCCTGGACAAGAAATTGCTGACCAGCAATGAAGTGTACTACAGTGTGGACTTGTTAGCAGAATGGTAATAGACCACAAAAACCCAAAAGATAAAAATTTGTTCATTCTGAAACAAGTGCTTATTGAAATACCCTTTTTTACACTCAAAATTCAATAGCATTAAATAGCACTGCATGTTTAACAAGCCAGGTCATATTCTACAAATAAACAGCAGCAAAATCAGCAGCGCTGAATGGCTGAATGGTGTTCTTGAAGGGAGAGGATTTTCCCACCTGAATCATATGAAGTTTCAGCAGCCATCATTAGCAACTCTTGTAATAATCTCCCTGATGGACTAGCTTGCCTTGGACTTCCACTGGAGGCTTTTCCTTCATAGTTTGTTATGCCCAAAGGTAAGGTGCCTTCATGAAGAGCATGACTCTGACTTTTCACACATGGAAATTCCCCAGAGATTGCAATCTGAGAAGTTTCTCCAATACCATCATCTGTTTTATCTGAATTTAAAACACCTGTAATCAGTTTAGGTATAAAAAGGAAGTGTTTTGCACTTCTTGAGGAACATTAAGATGCACATTCTACAGAAATAAACTGGTGATTTTTTTATGGTCTCCATTTTAATGAATTTAGCCATATCACATCAGTCTATGCATTATACAGGCTGAAAGATTATACAGATCATACACTTCTCAAAAACTAACTCCTAATTCCACCAAAGTATTTCTTCAGAAAAAACTCAAACAGATTTTTTCACACAGCAAATCCAAGAAAACTTGAAGTAACTTCTCCAGATCCAGAGGTAATACAGATTCTCTGCTCTGGTTTAAAGATTCTTTCTCTACAACTCAGCCCACAAAACAGCCCTTTCTGGCCACCCAATCCAATAAAAAGCTCACGTTTTTACTACCTACCATGAGCAATGGTTTGATAATATAGGTCGATCACAACAGTATTATACAGCTAAGAGTAAGTTACTAAGCCAAGTGTTTCCAGAACATAAATATATTCTTCCATCAAAACCTTCCCCAACAGAACTTGCTATCTAATCAAGATATCAAATTGGTCCAACAAGAATTGTTCTGCATAAACTGATGCTGACTAGCATTTAATTACTTTTCTTTAATTGAATGATGTCCCATATCAGCTGTTTCATTATTTTTCAATGAATGCCAGCCTGATGGGCCTATAATTACTCACATTGTTCTGCTGAGCCTTTTTAAGAACACATGGCAAAAAACTTTATAAAATATGCATTACATTTTAGGTGTGAAGAGACATTGAAAAAAATTAAATGTTTACCTTTAGAAAACATGAATTTGTTTTACCTGTTAAATAATGCTCCTTACAGACAATTGCAAAGCATTGCCTGCAGACTGAAACACATATATTTATAAAATTTTTATTGCTCTCCAAAGCTTTTTTCCAATGAGTGTTTTTTAACTAGAAAAAACAACCTAAAAAGATGGCCTAAAAGTTTGTAGAACTTGTAGAAGCTTGATACTACTTGAAAGATTTCACAGTCACTTTCTTGGTTTGATCAAAAGGTAAACCTTTGAACAAAATCTACCAACTTCTCTTTAGAGTTACTGTACAACTGCCTATTAACACAAATCCTATCCAAAAGAAAAATCAACAGGGAACTCAGGTTATGGAGTAACTGAGCTTTCTTTTCCTGGTAAAATTTTGTTTAAATTGTATTTTTCTTGACAGACACTCATAGAATAAACTTTTCTGAACTACAACTTTGCTAGTACGTAAGTTATACTTCAAGAAAGGCAACAGGACCAGCTATTATTTCCTAATAATCTCAAGGATTCTTCAAAAAATATTATATTCCTCCAATCTACTACTTATAAAAGCACTTATTATATATTTTATACATTACCTGCCAAAGAGAGGCTGCAGCTCTTCGGTGTGTCTACCTCTGGTATAATACTAAGTTCATGTTGCTCCAAACCAAGCCCTAACTTGACTTTTGTCACTGGTGGTTTGGAAGATCTCCATTTCTGTTCTCTACAGAGAACCTTCTCAGATTGTTCTGTAAAACAAAGTTTAATATGTTGCAATAATATGTATACACACACACACATATCAAATTAACTTGGAGAGATGGAAGAGAACTCCATCTCAGCTGTAAAGCAATAAAAATTATAAGGAAAAATAACTTAACAGACTTACCAGTTTGCTCACCTGGACCAATGCACCATGAAATTGTTTCACTACTGTGAAATTTATTCCTGCCACAGTTCTCTTGCTGATAGCTTTCTGAGACTTGGAAGAAGTCAGTTCTCTTAATCCTAACAGGCTTTTGTGCCTCTGTTATTTCTTCATTTGGGCACATACGTCTCACCTTAGAAGTGGGGGAAGCAGTTTTACATAAGATTATATTCATACTCATTTACCAAAAGTGCATTTTCTCTTGTGTGTATTCAATGCAGGACAATATTGAGCACATTGAGAAAGTAGCTCAGTTAGGCAGGATACCAGACAGATCTGCTTAGCTAACAGAAATGTGACATGGAGGTATTTTACTGACCTTTGCAAACCTAATGTGCTAAAACAATTAGTTACATTTTCAAGGCCTCTGTGACATTAGATCAGAGCACTCATCATTTTTAAAAGGAACAATTCCCAAAAAGTCTGCTTTTAGTTTTTCAGCTCCAGAATTCAAGAATTTTAGCTGCTTGGAGACTGCAAAATCAAAAGACAGGAACTCTAGGGAATAGTTATTCTTCTAGGATGACTTCTGTTTAAAAAAACACAAGAAAAGGCAAAAAGAGGCTCTTCAGAAGCTCAAAAAATAAACCTAGATTTTTCTTCCATTACTGAGAAACAAGCAAATTACAACTCAAGACTGCAGCTGCCAAGCCAATTTCCTAGTGGGTACACACAAAAAGACAAGTTTTAAAAATGATCTATTCAAGATGCCTATGATATCCTTTCAGGTATTAGGTATTTTTAATAGAAGGGCTGTTTTACACATAGAAATGCATTTATAGATATGAAGACAACTCTGCCTACAGGTATTTCAGACACCATAACAATTTCAATAGGCACTATGTTCAGAGACCAAGAACAGACTTTCACAGTATTTCTGTTAGACTTAACAAAACTGTGCTCTTGGAGCTTTACAGAGGTAAGGTATTCATAACAAATCACAAGTCCTAATGAAAATTTTCATTATGGTAAATCACCTAAAACTATCACCACTCCATGGGGTACACTGTAGCATTGACTTGTAAATTTGATCACCTAGAAGATGATTATCCATGCAAAGTGTTCATAAAGCTTACCTGCTTGTTTAGAAATTCTTTCAAAGCCTCTTGCTGTCTCTGCATCTGCTCCTTCAATTTATCTTGCTTCTGCAAAAGTAGTTTTTCTTGTATTCTCTGTTTAGAAAGAAGAGCTTCTCTCTGTGCATCTATCTGCTCTTGCAATTCTTTCAAATACTTTTGCTGAGCTTGGATGCTTTCTGATGAGGCCAACACTCTGTCCCTTAATCTCAGTATACCAGAATAATTTAAGGAAGATGCATCTCCTGCTTTTGATATCAAGAATTCCCCAACACCCTGAGCTTTAGATTCTTCACGTGCTAGAATCATGGGTTCAGAAAGACTGAGGAGTTGATCAGGGCTTGTTTTGCTGCTGCTCTCTACAGATCCCTGCTGACAGGCCAAAGGATCAGTTGAGGCTGATCTCTTTGTTGCTGGCATGAGGGATGTCTTAAATGGATGCTCTTCTCCAGTTTCTGTCTTGGTTTGATAGTTAGGTATCTTCTGAGATGACTCTTTAGAGTGTACTGTTTCTGAAGACTCGGAGGAACTTTCTGCAGGGAAGACAAATCTAACATGCTGTTGGCGTGCTGCTGGTTGTGTTCTTATTGCAGTCACTTCTTTCCTGACTGACCCTGATGGTAAATGGGACTGGAATGGCTCTCTGAGGTGATTATTGGCAGTTTTGAACAGTCCCACTTGTTCCTGTGATGGACAGTCACAGGGCAAATTAAATTCTCCATGCTTCAATTCTGATACTTCTGAAAACTGCAGTGATTTTTCAGGACAAATGAAATGCACTTGCTCTTCCTGCTTCTGTGAAGATGGTTTTTCCAACATACCCAATGTTCCTGAAAATGCAGGTAATGACCGTGTGTATTCTTGGGTATGAACTTGTTCTGATGCCTGGTACTGTGCTGGCTGTACTCCTTGCATCTGTAGGAGTGGCTCTGAGACAGGCTCTAAATTAATGGATTTTGTTTCCCTTGTGCTCAGAGGTATCTCAGAAGCAGACAAGTACCTTTGCTTCAGTGTATTCTGATACTCCTGTAGATTCTTTCTAGCTTCTTCAATGGTTTGTTTGCGCAACCTGAACAGAGCAAAACCACAAATCTTTTCAGAGCAGCACAAAAAGAAACATCTATTTCAATAATCAAGGCAATTCAAATTACTTCAAACAGGCATTCCATAAAGACACTTTACATTCCATAAAGACACTTACCTTTCTTGCTGCAGAAGGCATTGTTGAAAATTACGTATCATCTGTCTGTGACTGCCTTCTCTTGGACTCTTGGTTTCTGATACATTTCCAGTCTAATCAAAATAAAATAAATTTAATTTCGTATATACAACTAACACAGAAAACTATTACGGCAGCAACCTTAAGCTGTATGTTCTTCTTATCAAATTTACAGAAACTGCTGGGTATCACCATGTTTGAAGTCCATGAGATATCATCCTGAGGCAATGAAGCTAAAGAAGTTTCTATACCACATGGCCCACAGCTACAGCCTCTCTCTGCACACACCATCAAAGTCAATGGTGCTTACAGCAGCTCAGCCTAAAGAGGTAAATATACCCTGCAAACTCAGGGAGCAATGAGCCAATGTAGCTGCACTTCCAAGGCAATCAGGCTCTCAAAGAATACTGGCTGCACAAATGAAGCTAGATTTTATATATAAAAAAGATTACTTTCCTTCAACATCCTCCATAAATTCCTCTTCTTTAAGAAGCTGTTTGAGATTTAAACAGAGGCAGATTTTTGTGTCTTTTTTTTCTCACTATGATTTCTTTTTTCCTTCTTGAAAAAGGTTATGTCTACATGCACAATCATTATTATTGTCAATCATAATCTGACCATAATCAGATTTTACTAACAGGTATTATAAACAGAAATGCTGCCCGTCAGACTATAGAGAGACAATACAACAGCAACAGTCACAATCATAAAATCACAGAATATCGGAGTTGAAAGGGACCCACAAGGTCATCAATGTCCAGTTCCTGGCCTTGCACAGGACCATCCCCAAGAGTCACAGCATGTACTTGAGAGCATTGTCCAAACCCTTCTTGAACTCAGAAAGGCTTGGTGCTGTGACCACTTCTCTGGGAGCTGTTCCAGTGCCCAACCATCCTCTTGGTTAAAAACCTTTTATCATAGTATGTAACCTAAACCTCCCCTGACACAGATTCATGCCACTCCTTCAGGTCCAGTGATACCATGTGAAATAGAAGCTTGTACACTAGAAAAGGAAGCTTTAATACACACAAAGTTCTAATTCAAAGCCTAAGAAATAAAAATTGTCTTGATTGATACAATTTAAAATTGGTAAATGGTGTTATTTTTATTATAATAGTAAATAAAAACCTACACACAATTTTCTGGAATTCTTCACCTCATGTTCTATTTGGTCCTGCTGATCTGTGGAGTGGAGACTGTGGCTTTGCACCAGCTGACCTTGTTCTTCATCCTCTTTTTTTTTCTTAGCCTCCTCCAAACAGGTTTGCATTTGGATCTTCAGATAATCAGCTTCCAAAAGAGCTTTCTCTTCCTCAATTCTTTTAATCAAGGCCAGCTGCTCCTGTTTCTGTTTCTCTATTTCTTCATTCTATCAAAAATAAAAATGAAGGGGAATCTCTAGAACTGAATGACAAAGAAATCAAACTGTTCATACACACCACCACACACAAACCTTTGTTCCAAATTACAGAAGAAATTCTATTGCTTGTGACAGATATTTCCAAATTGCAACAGGCCTTTTAAAGTAGTTCCAAAGTCTACAGGAATAACTTTGTTTTACTGGCTCAATATTTCTAACAATCCCTGAATCCATTTACTATTGCATTATTATCTTATTGCATTATTATCTTTTCTCAAATTAATAAAACTGATAAGATCAGAATCCTTTCGAGATATGTTATCATTTTCCAAAGACTGTAAAAGAAGTCCTTTTCTTAAACTTGAAAAATTTATTTTGCATTTTACTCAGTTTTTCATCACAGTCTACACATCTAAATTAATTCAAGCTTTACAAAAGCTTCTGAAATAGACAATGTATAACCACTTTGAGAGCAGTCCATAAACCTCTGAAGTAGTCTGTTTACTTTTATTCTATTTCCATGTACCTTTCAGCTGCAATTCACTTAGGTCCAGACTTGGCAACAGTATATGTGCTTTTAGAATGGAAGCAAAGAAAAATTTCAAAGCACTGGCAAAGATGAAGTGCACAACAGCCTTTAACAACAGTCCAAATGGGGATGTCAGGAAAAGCAACCCAAGAAAATGCTGGACCCAAGAACAGTTATGTGGACACAGGACTATGTACACCTGGCCAGGTGCAAAGTGAGAGGAAATGAAGGTTAAAGAAAGTAGCCACACTTTCATAAAGGATCTGTTGCTTGTTAGGGGTTTTTTTAACTGTTACTATTTCATCAAATTTTTGTTTCCTTTATTTCTGAACTTAAACTCTACAACTGAAGGCTGCATATAGACCCAAATTTCAACTTTTTTTTTTTTTTTTTTAATTGGCAAACCACCACATAATAGCTGGTAAGTCTCTAGGGATACAACAAAAATTAAAATATAATGAAACATATATATGGTAGATATAATGAAATAATGCACAAAGCTATTATTTTCTAAATGTAATGAATATAGCATTCCCAGAGACACAAAAAGCTTTCTGCATTTGCTTCCTATATAACTGAAAAAAAATTACTCAAGATTTGTATGCTTTTCCTGTCACTCTAAACACAATCCCATAGACTTCCCTACATTATTACACAGAGTTAATATTAAGTTTTCAGTGTTGTATATCATTTTACCATGATTACCCTTGCCTACAGCACTTGTTAGATTTGAAGAAACTGAGGGTTTCCATTCTGTTCTAAATTCCAGCTACAGCTTCATAATTTTTGAGAAGTATAGAAAATGTTACAGTAAAAGTTTAAATGTTAAGAGCACCTATACCTGCTGTATAACCTGAAACATTTTAAAATCTCCTGTAAGTAATTTTTTTACACCACAACTGAGATAAGAAAAAATACAAATACACTTACCCACTTCTGTCTCTCCTCTTCTATTCTAATTTTAGCTGCCTCTTCCATTCTGATTTTAGCTGCTTGTTCTTGAGAATGGATTAGAACTGACTTTTCATCTGCAACTGTATTTTCCAACATTTTCATAGGGTCTAAAATATACATGTTATTTAGCTGTAATTGCAGTCAGAGTGAGCCTTGGATCTTCTTTACATCTTGCTTTACAGTTTCCCAATACTTCTCAACAATATGCATAAGCTGCTCTTGGAAAGATCTATATCCTACTATTCTGCCTGTCTCCATAAGCTGGAAAAACAGTTTTTTGTATTATTTAAGTCTTTAATAGCCCTTTATTGTGTGTCTTTCTTGATTACACAGTCATGTCTCAGCTTCAATGGGACTGAAAATTACTTCTAATATTACTTAGGATCTTAAGAGCAAGATCATCCTGAAGAATCAAAAGCCACACACTAACCCCTTAGAACAAAGAGGGTCTAAAACTGGCAGTACTGGGCAAATAATCTAACATTTGGCTATTGCACAAAAAGCAAGTCTCAATCCCGTACTGTTAACTTCAAATAGCAGTACATTTTCCCCAAAGCATGGTTTCACTCACACTACACTCTCCAGCCCTCAGGCATTATGTTGGCATAGTCATGTACATGATGGAACTAAATCACTTCATCTTGTTTAAAAAAACAAGCACCCTATGAAAGCAAATAACCCAAAAGCAAAAAAACCCAAAAACAACCAAAACACATGCCAGAGCTTGATCACTTTAAAACTTCAGAAATCCCACTCAGCATACAAGATCACCAGTGCAGCATTAACCTAACCAGAAGGGCACCAAGGACAGACATGGGAAGTAATCCCAAAATGATTTGTCTATCAAACAAATTGCAATGTCTAATTGCTATAAATTCCGATTTTACAAAATGGTATTTCAGAATGGTGCCTAAAAGCAGAAAAATAACTCCACTCATCAGCTTATGCTTGTCTTGGGCATTTATAGCTGTTAATCTCCAAAGAAAGCAGCTTTTCCAGTTCAACAGGTAGAGAACTTTAGTGCTGACTTCTGCACTTAGAATTCTATCCCTGGAGGCAAACACCTATTAAAGTACAGAAACATCAAGTGTGACAATAATTTGAGTGAGATTTAAAAGATAGAAAGGTATTTTGGACATCTGTTCTCTTCAAGATCTCAATGGACAAGTTGGACATAAGAGCAAAAGCCTCTCCTATTTGTGGTTTCAGCAAATCCACAATGCCTTGTGAGCACAGATAGGAAACTGTACTTTCATTCAATGTGACAAACATTTAACACTAAAAGTTCATTAAACAGTATTATCACAGTCATAGTCCCCCTGTACAAGTCTTTTTGCTACTTTACAGCAAACTTTGATGCAAGTATGTACTGTGTACCTTTGGCTTGAGACACTGTATTTTTCTGCTGCTCCTTGTTAAGTCCTAAATCACATAATGGTCTCTTTTCACCAGCAATTGTGCCTGATTCAATGGTGTCAAATTCACTTTGACTATCTTTCTCACTTTTTGATGTCCATTCCTCTTTTTGGCTTCTAATTTTGTTCAACAATTTCTTTAAGGCAAGTTTTGATCGAGGTTGGCAAGTTTTTCCATCTTCATGCCCTATAAAAAATATATACTATTAAAGAGTTTTGGGCAATGAATATCTTCATATCATTAAAAAAACCCTCTATTATTTTTTTATTGCTTACAGAGTTAGAAAAATAGCTTAGGTGTAAAATCTTAGCAAAATTTTCTCTTACCTGCAAGAGAGAAGCAGTAATTTGTCTCTGCAAGCTATAAAAGGACTAAGCTGGATGCAGTTTTTAATAGTCAAACTGTAGCAGAAATATGCAGTACTATCCCCACGCCTGCCCTCTGCTTTCTATCAGCACTGGCAACACAACGCACCACAGACCAAACACGAGACTGTGCCACTCAAGGGATGCAGAAGCATTTGGCCAAGCAGCAAAGCTCACTGAGACAATTCTGGTTCACACCACATGACCCTGGACATGCCACAAGCAAACAGGACACACTCATGCATCCCTTCCAGCCTACTCACAATATGCAGCAGCTCAACCACAAACCTGAACATAAAGGACACACAATAAGCAGACTAGAAAGCTTCAGCTTTGAAATATCTCAAAACAGAAAAATATTTAAGGTCACACATCAGCATCAGTCCATAATTTATACTAACTGCACAGGAATAATTAAGGCTACTAACAGTGTAGCTCTTACAACTGAAAATTATTCTCAGCATACTAATGAACTGAAGCATATCAGAAAAAGAAGTCACATTTTCATTTTTAAATTCATAATCATTAGGGTATTATAACTGATGCTAAACATAAACCAAATTATACTGAATTATTTTACGTACATTTAGAAGTTTTACTACTTTAGGCATTTTACTTATTACTATAATTTCTTTGATATACTAGACTAATCTTTTCTAATATAAAACAAAAAGGTTGAAGTTAAATATGAAATTTAGAAGTTTTACTTTCTGGTTCATTAGGGACCTCCTCTTCTATCACATGTTCTGATTCTTGTCGAGTATCACAAGGAAGCTCTGGTTGAGTGTCACAAGCAGATTCATGCTCCAAAGAGATATCAAGATCATTATCTTGAGCTCGGTCAGAAGGGGCTGGCAAAGGTTGTGGCTCAAACTGCAAAATCAGGTCTTCTTTCATGTCTAATTAAAAGAGCACAAAGAAATAAAATGACCATTTGGAATACAAATCAAACAACACTGCAAGACTACACTCACACAAATCCATAGGAAATTCAAATATCAATAGGTTATTTCACAACACATTTAATCCAGCTTCTATTTTCTCACCAAAATACAAAATTCAAAACTGTTTAGATCAATAGCCATCTATTCATTCAGAACCTCCACGGCAGTTTCCACTAGAATATGCTACGTTTTTCAAAATAAAAGCTGATGAGATGAAAGGCTCTGCTTTACACCAAAAGCAGCTCACAAGAAAAATTACACATGATCCCAGTAACTTCACCAGGGAAAAGACACACCCTGACCTGGCTGTTCACAAGGCTGCCACAGGAGAGTGATCACACAGTCCAGGTGTGAAATCCCAGAAGACTGCACAACTGGAATTCTCCCATGATCAGCTTACTGACTGAGAGGATTACTGCCTACAAGGGATGTGGGACATAGGAGATCACCTTGGAATTCTATGCTTGTTACACATACTTAGGGGAGGAACCCAAGGCAGGGAAAGGAAAGGATCAAGTTAGTCAGGGGCACAACTGTGAGATTAAAATGTAAAAATAGGGAGATAAAATAAGACATTCAGTACACTTGTCTGGTCATGAACTGTGCCTGACAGTCTGTTCTGTCTTCTCACTAAGTTATACTTGTAGCTGTTTTCTTGCATGAGGAAGGCTGTCTTTTGTATGCATGTATGTGCATAGATATGTAAGGGCCAGCAACTGGAAAGGGGACCAGAAGTCACAGGTTCACCTGTGTCTAGAGCACTGCCAACTGCAGAGGCCATAATGAGTGCATTTAGGTGGGTATGAGTATCAGCATGCAGTGGCTAGCAAATCACAAGCCAGACTAGCTAGCAAGAATGTTAAGAAGCTTAGGAGTTATGCATCAGGCAGCTGTAAGACTGGGCTGCGTATTGTAGAGGCCAAGGGACCTACAAGTTGTCTAGTGAAGGGATCAGGAAACCCAAGCATTCAAGCCAGCTACAGAGGAGAGGAAGGGATCGCAAGAAAACTGCCAGCACATATATATGCATCTCCAAGACAACAAGAGGATCCAGGGTCAGCTGTTGGGTAGAGACTTGAGTATATAAAGTCAAGTCTCACAGGAATCCATAGCAGGCGCATGTCTGTGCACACACTCACATGCCCAGCTAGGTCTGTGCAGCAATAACTGGGGAGGAGCAGAAGATCTTGGGGGTGCCCAAGCATGCCCAGCAGCCAGAAACTGGAAAGGGCCAGCTGCCATGTAAGAGCACATGTCTAAAGCTATTCACCAAGTGATCCACACATATTAGAGCACATATTTGAGCACATGAGTGCATACATGAGTATGAGAGGTAACTCTAAGGCTCCAGTCTCCAGCATGAATCACTGGGTAAACTGTGTGTCTAAGACCTGAGGAGGATCTGTAACGTAGCAGATGAGAGACCTAGGATACAAGGGACAACTCCTGGACAGACTGAGCGTCTAAGATGAACTGCTGGAGGGATCCATACAATATTACAGACGTATATCTCAGTAAAAGGCCTTCACCTTGATCAGCCACAGTAGTAAACAGAAGGAGGCCATTTATGCTGTTTGTACTTAATGTGAGTGCTGTGTTTTCCCTGTTGGCCAGCTGTATGGATATGCCCTGGAAGGCTGCTTGTGTGTGTGCCAACTATGAATAAACATACAGCCTCACTACCACCTGGACCTGGAAAGAGGTATCTGCAGAGCCTCTCCTTTGCTGGGTACCAGTTTCAGCAACCTCCAACAAAGAACTTACTCCTGTCTTCACTGTACATTTCTTCAAATGCAGACTCCAGTTCTCTCTGCCATTCTTCTTTTATTTCCATGCGTTTGTATGCTGGCACTGAAAGCTGAGGAGGCATCTGCGCGACAACTTGTCTCCTGCGCATCCGATCCTGAGCTTGCATTTGCTCCAGTTCTTCCAGGAGTCTTTCCCTCTCCTTTGAGAATAAAGAAGGGATAACATCAGCCTTCAGTGTTCACATTCAGCCAGCCACATATCAAGACAGATACAAAATGCTTCCAGTTGGTTACCATGATTTTTGGTTTATGTTCAAAGTTAATCTTACTCTAGGGAGAAAGTGCTTCCTCAGGAGAAGGCTGTATCAGCCTTTAGACACAGGAGTCATTAAAAATACTACCTAGAAGATTTGATGTTAAATAAAGGATCAGACTCTATACCAGTAGGCCAACTTTCCTCAAGAAAATTAAACCTGTTTTATAAGATGAGTACTTCTTTTGCCAAGTGACTTTTGCTAGTATATAATTCAGCAGTTGCTACTTTTTAAGATATAAACTAAATACTCAATTAAGAGCTATTAAAAAAAACCCAAGGGTTTTTTTTGGGGTTTTGTTGGTTTTTTTTTTTCTGTTAATTTCAGGACCACCAGTAATATTTCCAGAAATCCCCATTTTAGTTTGGTTACTCATTCATGGTCAATCATATCCCAGCTGATAAAAAAACCAAGCTTTTCTTTTTCTAGCCACCAAAAATACTTGTGAAGCTATCAGACAATAAAAATATTTTGAGTGTAGATCTCAGTACAAAGACTTTTCTCAGTAGTTAAATTTTTATTTCTTAAAGGAAACTGTTTCAACATTTCCAAACTTGCACACTAACAGAATGTCAGTCTTTAAATAAAAATCTTGAAAAGTTTTCAAAGAATAAAAAACCTCGCTACCTTCTTAGCAATAGTATCTTCCCCTGAAGAACAGAATCACTAATTCCAACTAAAGCTAATGTGGAAAAGCAGAACTCACCACTTATTAAAGAAGTTTTGCTTGACTATTACCTGTTGGTTAGTAGCTGGTGAAACATACAGGTGACAAAAATTAAGAGGATGTTCTTTCATTCTCACTCCTTCCCAGATGCCAGAGCAAGCTAACAGATTTTGACTTTTTTTATTTTTCAAAGACATTCTGAAAACTTTATTTAGTCCATCAATTTCCCTCCGGTAAATGTTATTCCTCTATTTATCACCTACTTACAACTTACTTAGCAGTGGTCATTCTTACATTAAAAACAGGCATAACTACTCCGCCTACCTTGGCCAATTGGATCTTCTTCAAGGCATGAGTTCCTCTAACATGTGCCTTTTCAAGATGCTTTCTTCTCTCCCTCTCTGCCTCCCTGTGTAGTTCCTCCAAACGTCTCCCTTCTTCTTCAGCAGCTAAATGAGCATCTGGCTGGCAATCAATCAATAGTTTAGCTCACAAAGTTCTTTTATAGTTTAAAGCATATGTAACAATTAATAAATGAATAATTCTGCAGCAAAAGCACTTAAAAAAATACATACAATGCCATATGAACATCCTTGAATGTTTATGTTGCAAGGAGAACCAAAATAATTTTTTACCTTTGGAAAAAAATTCATAATTATGTACTTTGTAAATTTAGGTGACAAAGTGTTCCAGTTTCAAGCTGTACCAGGGACAATAATTTACATGATTTGTTATAGCAGAGCAGTTATTTTTCCTACAATACATGGTAAAATGATATGGTCAACATTACAGATTGAGTACTTCTGTCCTCATGGTTTGGTTTGAAACAATGGGGGAAAAAAAATCCCTGAAATATCTTCAGTTTCAATTGAGAAATCAGAAACAATCTGCAACTTTCAAAGAACAAAAATCTTACTAACATAAAAATAAAAATATACTTAGGGAAAAAAAGTCATTCCAAATAAGCAAGGCAAATACAAAGCAAGTCTGGGAGTATATTGCTAAAAAGAGGGGAAGAGAGAAAAGCAGAGCAACTGCAGCTATCAATTCAGCATAAGCCATAAGTCTTCCAGTTTGGGTGCTTGAACATCATACCAGTCTTGTGATCTTACTTTCTAACAAAAGCCTATTCACAAGGAACTGCCAGGTGTGATCCTTTAAGTGACTGAGCACCTAACAGGTTTTACAAGCCTGCCCACCCAAGAGTCTCTTTATTAAGTAGTGTAACAGCTGCCTTATACAAGTTCATATCTTTAAAGAGGTTCTAGAAAATCCATCAGCTGATATCCAGACAATGTATGCAATGTAAAGAAACATATATGTAAGACTGTAGCACAAACACTTGGAATTAATCACCTGATCTCCGTCCACTTCTCTGTCCACCAAAGCTTCAGCAATATGGTAACGTGTAACAGAAAAGTTGCCAGCACCACAGGACTTCATAGCAATGATCTTTCTCACTTCAGAACTCTAGGAAGAGAGGTACAACTACAGCTGTAACACAGAACAGTATCTGTACCAAAGCAACTAAACAGAAGTGATCTGTTAAAGTGATCTGATAGCTCAATTATAATTAAGTTTTTATTAAAATTTTAATAAAAGTATTAAATTTATTTATATTATTTACTATAATTTATTATTATAATTTATTAAATTATTTATTTATTATTATTTATATTTCTTTTATATTAAAAGAAACCCATTCCACCAAATTCTGTCCTGAAAATATTGTTTAAAACCTTATATACATGTAATAGTTAATAAACCACATCAGCACAAGACAGATCTAGAGGGCTTTAATAACTGAGAGCATCTAACAGTCTCCAGCAGACCTCTGCACAGAAATTGACGCTCATCAGTGTCATCTTTCAAAACCACTAATTTAAAAGCACTTGAGTTTAATGCATTAATACAAATCCCACTTAAAACAGCTGTCACATTCACCTCAGAGCAGGGCAACCACAGATGCACAACATAATTATACCCAACAGAAAAGCAACACTTGTCAAGTACAGACTTCCTTTGGGAAACTCAGAGCCATTATGTCCAATTTATTAGCTGACCAGAAAAATGAGCATTTTCTGTAACTTCAATGTAAAGTGTCTATTCACAGAATGCTAAGTTGCTGTGGTTTTTTAGAAGTTTTGGGTACACTAACACATTCCAACTCTCTTCTGGAAGCTTGAACAGTAAGCCATCCATCAGACCCTCCCTCTTCTTTGGCTTAGTCTCAAGATCTCAGTAGCAAAGTAGCGAGGTTAGGTAACTCAGTATCCTGTAGGACCTGTCTGTGTATTTAGAATCTCCTCCATTAATTTTCTCTCAGCTTCCTTTTCCCTCAACCTTCTCCTAAAAATGTGTTCTTATCCACATTAACTAAACCGGAAAGATTCATAGCTTGAGTGGTCTAAAACTAACATTAACTAACATGACCATAAAGAAATGCACACACACAAAGAGGAGCATTAGTTTCAGGAATATCTTGAACTTATCTCTGCATAAGAAGAGGCATACAAAATTTCAGTATTGACCATCCCTATTTTATGAAGACTGTAAAAGCAAAGTCTTTAAATGAAAATCAAAGAATCATAGAATCATCAATATTGGAAAAAACCTTCAAGTCCAGCCATTAACTCAGCATTGCCAAGTCCACCACCAAACCATGTTCATGAATGCCACAGCTAACATCTTTTAGATACCCCAGAAATAACGACTCCACCACTTCCCCAAGCAGCCTGTTCTAGTGCTTGACAAACCAGTAAAGAATTTTTTCTTAATATCCAGTCTAAACTTCCCCTGGTGCAACTTGAGTCTATGTCCTCTTGTCCTATCAATTTTTACCTGGGTAAAGAGACCAACCCTCACCTGGTTACATGTAATCTCCTTTTAGGCAGTTGTAGAGAGTGACAAGGCTCACCCTGAACCTCCTTTTCTCCAGACTAAACACCCCCAGCTCCCTCAGCCACTCCTCATCAGACACATGTTCCAGGCCCTTCCCCAGCTCTGGACACACTCCAGCACCTCAACATCTTTCTTGCAGTGAGGGGTCCAAAACCAGTAAAACTACCTTTAGCCTTAACAGCAGAACTTCCTTGGTCCTTAAACAATATTACTGCATGTTATTCTAGTAGGTAAAAAAAAAATTAACTGCTAAATTTCTTAATCAATAAAAATCATAGCAATTTTAATAGATCAACATTAACCAAACCACTTGCAGATACTGATTATAGCTATGAAAACAGACAAGTCCCAGGGCTAAACCTCATTAGCCAGAATACCAGTGCTTGCCCTGTACTGGGTTACTTTCAGAATGTATAATTAAACATCTCTTCTGATTTATTAAAAAAATTTAAAATTAACAAACCAATAACAAATAATTATTAATTACATGTAAACAATCAAACTCCAGAATTTTATTCAAAAGTTGTGAAGATGTCAGAATTATACTGGAGGCTGCAATTTTCCAGTTAATATCAGAAGAAATTTAGGCTGAAAAAAATTACCATACTTCCATCACAGTTTTGTAACTCCTCCCTTTTTTTGTCTTTCCTTCCTTCAAAAAGCAAATAATTCTATACTAAAATCTGGCAAGACTGAAGAAGCAAAATATCATGAAATGGGGCAAAAACCCAACAAAAACCCCATGATCGAAACTCTACAAATGCTATGAATACTCAAGCAGAGTATAGTAACACCTTTTAGGTTTTATTTTCATTTCATAACAATCTAATGTATCATGTAAGAAAAAGTAAGTTTACAAGAATTCAGCAACAATTTTCAATAAAGTTGTGTTTACAGTTTAGCTTCAATTAAGTAACTTTTCATTTGGTCTAGCTAAATATGGCCTCAACTCCTAAAATCTGTAATTCTGAGAACCAAAATGGGTTATGACATTAGAGTAAAAATACTTCTTTTCTACGTGGGTAAAATAACAATAATAGGAGAATCTTTAGAGAATGTTTTTTATATTCTAAGTAATCATGCCATGAACAAGTGTCCTAGCTCCGTTTTATGAAATTATAGTCAATTGTTATTGCAACAGAACATCAGATTATGATTATAGTTGCATTTAATAAGCTCCTTATGCAAACTGATTCAAAAAAACAAGCAGACTTATTCAGATGACCCTGTAATTCCCAGGATTTAAGTTAAACAATTTAAATTCAGTGCCTTTTGAATAACACATTTGCAAGACAAAGCCCTGGATTTACCTTCCCCCAACTGACGGTCAATATCTTTTGTTTTCTCTCTCTTGAAGCAGAAACAGGAATAAAAATCTCTCAGTCTTTCAATTACTTAACATTTTTCTCCATAAAGTACATGGCACCCAATAACTCTTCAAAGAAAATAACTTCATTCTTAGCCCTGTGCCCTCCAAGCCATAGGTCTATAACTAAAGGATTAAAATCTAAACAGATACGAAAATTAGAGAAAAGACTTAAAGTCAGCTAGTCTTTAAATGGAACAAATTTATATGCTGTGCTATACTGAAACAGAGAAATCTCTTTCCTCAACAAAAACTCAACATGTCTGCAAAATTAGTGACACAATTTGCCATTATCACAACATGAACTTCATAACAGAAACAAAACCCACATGCTATAGAAAATCCAGTTGTTTGCAAACTCTGCTAAACCCAGTTACAAATCATGTTTGTTGAAAAGGGGAGTAAAGGACATTTGCTAATGGCTGGAAATGCATTAAGTTTAGGAAAGGAACAAGATTTAAATAGAGTACTAACCCAGACATGTCATCCAATGCAATTGAATATGCAATTTTGGTTTCACCAGAACCTGGAGAAACCTGGAAACAAAGCTTTATTGCTTACCCTGGGGACAAAATACTAAAGAATGAGGAGAAAATTCTGTATTTATAAACCGGAAAGGAAGTGCATTATTGATGCTACTAGCTAAAAGTATTAAATAAAAGTATTACATATGAAGTACTGCATCATTTTAGTTGTTATGGAGGTTAGCTGCAGTTATGGGGAAGGTTTAAATAAAATGTGACATAAGACACATTCTAAACTGCAGAAGTTACTACAGAGCAAACCCACAGCACCTCACGCTTTCCAAACAACGCCAAACTGAGCAACAGAAGCACCTGAAACCCAGGAAATACGGAGTCAAAGCTTGGACTGATACAGACTTCACCTGCTCTACACCAGACAGATCAGGAACACACCCTGTGGCACAACATAGAGAGGAACAGCAGCATGAAAGGGTGTGTGAATTTACCTGAACTGTACCAGACAGGACCTTATTCCAGATGTTCTAAATTTCAATACTGCATATACTTTACCAGAAATAACCCCAAACTTTACCACTCCCTTACAACATTTGCTTTAATCTTTACTCATATCCAGCTTACACAACATGAAAACCCTTGGGCAGCCAATGAGAAGATCTAGAGAGAAACTGGCCATGGGTACTCCTTAGAATCATTCTTAGAACTGTGAGGGTCAAACCTTACTCAGTTTTTCCTGATACAACACAAAATCCCTATCATCCTGCACTCTAACCTATACATACGTGCTGGGATGTGGCTGGGAAAAGTTTTGAAAGCTTCACTGGCTGTGAGAGGGGCTAGTATACCTCAACCCTTTATTTTATTGTCAGTAGTTTGAATATCCTGAACCCAAAGATCTAAAATGGCACAACGCCACATGAGGCAACTTAAAATTCTGCATTCATGAAGTTCTATAAGTTAACTCCAAAGTAAAAACGCACATTGTGTTCTTTCTGCAGCTCAGATTTGCAATGCTACAGGAAATTCTACATGTATGCACAAGCTCTGTGAAATCAAATCAGCATGAATGGGGTACAAAGCCACACCTCAACAGGTTGCAGCCTCCCCAATAGACTTGGGTGATGGCTTCAAATCAAAATTAAAGAGTTTCCCCTTTATTTAGTACTTCCTACAAGCAAAAGAAGGGAAGAAAGAAGAAGGGAGAAAAAACCCCAACAAAGCTACCCCACAGCTAAAAAGACAAGATTGTCTTTATTACAGAACTAAACAAAATGCTGCAAACTGCATCAGCAGGACAGAAGCTGAGGAGGCATATAATGTACAAGCTGAGAGAGATCATTGTGAAGTCTCATACCACTGAGGCTACTAAATAAAAATGAGATATGATGAAAGTTTAAAAAGACACATTAACCACAAAAATAGTCTGATTACAAGAAACAAAATTCACATATAACAAGAGATCAATAAAGTACCCAAGCTTAGTAGCAAGAAACCTGCTAATATGTAATTAATTCATTCCATTGTTTTTTTGCTGAACCACTCTCCCTACAAATGCAAATACCAACTCTGGATGTCCTGTTGCGAGGAGTCAGACCAATAAATATGTATGTTACCCTTGAAATTGTGATCACTGTTGTATCATGGATACATACCTCAAATGGACGTGGAGGAGGAGGTGGCAGGTTTGCAACTTTGGCTGCTCTTTGTCTTTCCACTTCTAGAGCACGTTTGCGTGCATCTGTTCGTCTTGGGGAACAAAAACAAAACAAACCACAAAAGAGAAGAGAGATGGAAAATGACCCAAGCAACAGTGACAGAACAGTGCAAAATAAAAGGTAAACCTAAAATCAGATTCCTAAGTAGCTGAATGGAATGCTCTGGCCATAGGGATGGGGAAGCACATTACAAAGACAGCAGAACTTAGACTGGAATGCAGCGTTAAAAATCACCTTGTTCAAGTTATGCAAAAACATTAATATATACAAGCATCCAAAAAGCAATACAAAATCTCTGCTTTTGACCTAGGTTTGCAGAAAGCATTGTGTACTTCAACATACTTTAACTGCTTGAGTGTAGACATACTTAACTATCTAATTTACAGGTCTTAGCTCTATTCAAGCAAAACTATGGCCAAGAGGACACAGACCATTTTCCATGCCAGCTCAAGTTAGGTCTAATCTACTTAATTAAAAGAAGCCCATGGCAAATGCACTAGGTCCTTTTTCCAGGTGTTTAACTATCAGGAACTGGCCTGACAACATTTCATTTCATATGTCACTGAACTCCTGGAGAGTCTATAAGGCCAGCTTGAGTATCTGATATTCTTGTCTTGGTTTTAAAGCTACAATTTTTATCAAAAGCCACAAGCTTTGTCCATGAGCATCAATTCTCTTACCCATAAAACTTCAAGACTGAAAAAGCTCCAAGCAAGAAGCATCAACATTTTTGCCTTTCACCTTGTGACACTGTAAAGTTCATTCTTAATAAAACAAAATAACTATTGCATACCTGGCTTGCTCACGAAGTAATTTTTCTTTTTGGTGCTTCTGCTCTATCAGAGCTTTTCTATGTCTCATCTCTGCTTTTTGTTTCCTTTCCTCTGCTTGCTTTGCCAGAGCTTCTAAGTCAGGTTCCTTAACATTAAAATATTGTAATCACTTAATAGAGAATTTCACTCACTCATTAACAGTATGATATTTCAAATTACATACTGCTGGTAAAAAGCACAAGCTCTAAACTACCTTCTACTGTATTAGGGTAAAATACTCTAGTATTAAACTTTTTCTTTTCTGCCATCTTCATTTTCTTCTTCTCCATCAAGAGCAGAACCTGCCACATCCCTCAGCTAATTTAACCAAATATTGATGTAGAAATTTTTAATTCTAAACGTGACATTTCTTCTGCATCAGTTTGATGAAAAGGATAATTAAACATAGTTATTTAAACACCCTGTAGCAAATGCAAAGAAGTTACTCTGAAGAAGAAGCTGCTCTGAAGTGTTACTACCCTTCAGTCATCAACAGAAACATTTATTATTAGTTCTCTGGTCCTATAACACTGCTTCCACAGTTTTTTCCTAACTCGCCCATCCTAGGATCAGAAAGGATTTTATAAAGAAGGGATTGATTTAAAGACACTGATATATGGAAAAATATAATGCTATTTTACTTGGGTTTAAAGATCCTGAATAAATCAGGAAGTAAGCTACTCTGCAAAATCCATATAAGAGATCTATGGCTGGTTTCTATAAACCTGATGCAAAGTCAAACCTATAGAAAAATTCTAACCAGCAACCTCAATGATCTCTCTAGCAGAGATTACACAACTTACAGGATTTTAAAGAAAGTGAAACCAGTTTATAGGAGCAGAATTAAAAAGTGACACCTGTCTGCAGTCCAGGCAAAGGCCTCTGAAGCCCTTACCAAGGCTTTCCATGTCACTGCAGCATTGAAGGGAAAAAGAATATTAAGTATATTTACTTAACACAGAGAAGATCCATGGTGGAGAAAAAAAATACTGTATTACTGGCATAACTGGGATACGGAGTCATTATGTACAATTTACTCAAGTACAAACATACATGATCATACAACCTAATACAAACAGAGTAACTTTAAAGTCTGCCCAGCAAAAGCCTTCACAGATAGGCCCACAGACTATCATGCAGGAAGATACCTGCAAAAAAATACATAACCACTTCTGAAACATTTCCATTCCTAAAAAGTTATCTATTTAGGTATCAGGACTTCAAAATCAGGAATGTTAAAGGAAAAACAAGCCAACCAGAAATTTTGGTATTTCTAAAACATCAAAATTGTCTCTGACAATATATACTGGTATTGGCTGGGATAGATATTATTTTTTTTACAGTGGGTGGTATGAGGCTGTTGCTTTGGATTTGTCATGAATACAGGGTTAATAATACAGAAATGTTTTTGTTATTGGTGAACAGGGCTCACACAGAGCCAAAGGCCTTTTCTGCTTTTTGTGCTGCCACACTGGTGAAGAAGTTGAAATGGCTGGGAGGAGACACAGCCAAAACAGGTGACCCCAACTGCCCAGAGGGCTATTGCTTACCATCTGACAGCATGCTCAGTACATAGAGTGGGGGGAAGAAGGAGGACAGGGACAATGTTTGGAGTGATCATGTTTGTCTTCCCCAAGTAACCGTTACCCATGATGGGCCCCTGCTGCCCTGGAGATGGCTTGAACACCTGCCTGCCCATGGGAAGCAGTGATTTAGCTGCTTCTTTTGCTTTGCTCTGTATGTGGCTTTTGCTTTCCCTATTAAACTGTCTATATCGCAACCCATGAGTTTTCTGGCTTTTACCCTCCTGATTCTCTCCTTGATCCCACTGGTGGGGGAGTAACTGTCTGGTGCTTGGCTAGTGGCTGGGGTGAAACCATGACACAATAATATTAAGCTCACTTACGTTCTCCTTGGCCTGTCGGTGACCCTCCCCGATTGCTCTTAAGCTTGATAGATAGAGCTCTTCCAGGGCTTTCATCTTCTCATCCTGTGCCTTCTGCCATTCCGCTCTCAGTGCTTCCTCTAACTGATGCAGTTGTTCTTCTCTCCTCTGCTTTACCTTCTGCCTTATCTGGTAGGAGATATACTTCTGCTGCTCTCTGACCTGTAGAAATAGCAATTATGTTTGTCAGCAATTCAAGAAAAGCACAATACTTTTTGCAGCAAGACTTTCCACAACATAGTCTACCCTTCATCCAGCTCATGTACTATTCCATTCCTAATCTGTCTAGAAAACACTTTCAAATTGCTGTTACCTTTCTCCAAAATTAATATATAAAATAATAAATTTGACCTTAATTAGATGCTTCAGTTAAAGTCCAAAAAGTGACATACAAGTGACAAACAGCAAAAACTGCTTGGAATATTCTTCCCTCCAAAAACACAACACAATAATTTATGAGACGCTCCTATTACGATTCAACATGGTTTAAAAAAATTCAACAACTATACCAAAAACTTTGCAAACACAGTTTATTATTTTTCACATTATATTTTAGGCATTTTTTTCACAGAAAGGGTTGTCAAGCACTGGAGCAAGCTGCCCAGGGAAGTGGTTGAGTCACCACCCCTTGAAAAGTTCAAAGGACATGCAGATGTCATACTTAGGGACATGGTTTACTTGTGGACTTGGCAGTGCTGGACTAGCAGCTGGACCTGACAATCTCAAGGGTTTTTTCCAACATAAAAAATTTCACCATTCTACAATATTATTACCTTGAAATTTAGCTTACAGGAAATAATATTTTCAGTTACTTTTCTTAAATTATTTGTTACATCGTCAAATGAAATACAACGCATGGAAAAATACAGGCATACTTGTTGCAGCCTTAGTTTTCTTCTTCTTTCATATTCTTCCTTCAGAAACATGGCCTCTTCATTAGGACTAAGCCTCAATGTCCCAGCTGCTGCAAGTTTCCTCCTCATCTTTGGATATGCTGAATAATCAACTTCTGTGAGAACAACGCAAAGAAAAAGAGAAATTGTGCATAAATGACACTGGCAAAACAGCTATAAAAACAAGATACTGGCATAATGTTGTCAAATCTATCATGGTATTTATGTGTCAGAGCTACAACTGCTCACATCTGTCCCAACTGGAGCAGGACTTGACAATATGAGAAATCTTTTCCAACCTTAATGACTCTTAACTGTAATCAATAGCATTGGCTTTGTCTTTGTCACAGTCACAAAAGATAATGCTTTTGAACTACTTTGAGTTATGTACCAAACACTGCAAAAGCATCACAGTCACAGTCTACTCTGTGGACCAGCCACAAACATTTGCAAAGTGAAGAGTGGACACCATTCCACTCCAGGGAAGATTTAAAAACAAGCCCACAAAGTACTGAAAGGCGCACCCCACAGTAAAGCAGGCTGGTCACTCAGGTGATCTCTACTGAAATACTCTCATAACTGTTGTAGAGATGAAGTAAGATACAACAGCAAATTTGTTGATGTTTTTGGCTGCACTCCAAGGTTTTCTGCCATACAGGCTCTGAAACTCTAGCAACAGCCTGTGTACCAAACATTTCACTGGAAAGCTGAAACTGCTCACTAACGATTTTTTATTCAACTTTTCCTAACAAGACAAATTTCCAATTATGTTTCTCTCGAGATTTTACTGTGAAACAAGAATCTTCTAGTTCTACAGACTGCTTCCCATTTTCCTTGTAATTACAATTTTCATATGCACAAAAAAACCCCAAACAGAAAAAAAACAAAACAAAAAATCCACCCCCCCCCCAAAAAAACCCCAACCAACCAACCCCAAACTTCTTCCATCTGATATGCAGCCTAATCTAAAATTCCCCTCCCCCCAAATCAAGCAAGATTTTTACTGGGTCTTTAAATATTTATAACCCTGGAAATATTCGCACGATACAAGCAAACAGACTTTCAAAAGTCACTGCTTAATTCTAAAAAAAAACTAGTGAGCAATTCATATAGTACTAACAGTGTAAACAACATGCCACACCTGGAATCAATTGTTATCAGCAACATATATAGTGATCTTGGTATAACTAGAGACACAGTATCACAGATAAAACAGCAAGTCTGTAAAGAAATCAGGTGAGGTGCAAAGCCGGAGATCCGCAAGATACTTTTGGTACAGGGTTATTAAAGCAATTTACAGCAAAAAGAGGGGCAGTAGCGTCCTAGTTCCTGCCAGTCCTCCCTTAGTCACACGATGAGGTACAGAAGTTCAGCACGGCATGAAATTAAGTAGCAAATTACTACATTCTTTCTTTCTTTCTAGAGGAAAAACGTAGAGGATGACCAATGAATAGCCTGGACCTAAAGGATAAGAGCAGAGGCAGAGATTGCCGCGCTTGCCCGGCTCAGCCGCAGCACAACGCGGGTGCTGCAGGCCGGAGACGGCCCCGGGTCNCCCGCGCCCCCATGGAGCCGCCAACAGCGCATGCGCCGTCTCCCGCCCCTCCTGCCCGAGCCCCGCCCCCGTCCCGCGGTGGCCAATCGGGGCTCGGGACGGCGCCGGGGGCGCGCGCGGCCAATATAAACGCGGCACTGTGGGGAAAGATGGGGTTTGCCCCGCTAAGGCGCCGCTGGGAGCTGCTCCGTGCGCCAGCCCCTTCCCCAGGGCCCAGCTGAGCGCGGATAGTGCCTTGCTCGCCTAACGCGGCGATCTCAGCGCGCACAGGTGGGGTTCGTCACCATGGATCCCTCACAATGCTGACCGGGAGCCCGCAGTCGGAGTTTCCAAGGTTTCGCGTGGGAGAGGCACTCACTGGCCGAGCTTGAAATGCTGAGAGAGCGGAATAAAACGTAATCCTGCTAGTTCTGCCTCACAAATGTTACTTCTATGCAGCTTCTCTATTCGGCGCTCTTTTTGGTTGCACTGTGTTAGTAGAAGGAGTATCATAGAGTCATAGAATGGTTTGGCTTGGAGGAGGAGCTCGAAAATCATTTAGTTCCAGCCCCATTCGGGCTATGGCAGTGCCCCTGTACTTGTAGTGCTGCTCTGCCTATCTTCTAGGCTTGCTCATGTCTTCTGCAATGGGTACATCTGTGTTGCTGCTTCAACCTTGTAGCTAAACCTTTCCTTTGTAAACCTAATTTTTAACTAGTGTCTGCCTCTTGGAAGTATGATGCAATGCTTTCTTCTCAGCTGGCAGCATGTAGTGACAGGCCAAGGGGGGTAATAGATTTCAACAAAAAGAGGTTAGGTTGAGATTAAACATTAGGAGGAAGCTCTTTACTGTGAGGGTGGTGAGGCACTGGCACAGGTTGCCCAGAGAAGCTGTGGCTGCCCCATCTCTGGAAGTTGAATCTTCCAAGACCAGGTTGGGTGGGGTTCTGAGGAACCTGGCCTAGTGGAAGGTGTCTCTACCCTTTGCAGTATAATATAACATTATATTGTAATGTTGTAACCAGATGATCTTTAAGGTCCCATCCAATCCAAACCACTCTATGATTTTTCCCTCATTCTTCACCTTTCTTCCTAAAAGGAACCATTGATTATACGTGTAGGATTTGCAGTGGTTGGGATTTGAAAGTGGGCATATCAGATATCCTTAATTTATGAGGAATGTAAATACTATTTGTATTGAGGGAAGCAATTCTGCCACACATAGAGATGAGGCAAGAGAGGTTGTGTTAGTCTGTTTCTTTGCATGGAGCACATTCCAAGGGTCTGAGCTGCCACTACAAAAATGGAAGAAATGTTTGTGACTTAAAACAGACTAGGCACAAAGGAGATAATTAATTGTCTATCGCTGAAACTTGAATGCAAAACATAGCTACTTTTTTGGCAGTTTCTTGTAGAAAAAATATTTTATACTAGGGGCTAACTGTTATAGTAACCCACCATATTGTGCCATACAAGACTGAAACCAGGAGGGCTGAGATTACTCAGTAAAACTTAGTGGTTTGATGCATGCAAATGCATGGCTGCACAGGAAGTAGACTAAAAAGATACAGAATTGCAAAATGAAATACATTGGCATAAGGAGAAGAGGTAACATAGCAGTTTTATGTGCTTTCTTCCCTGCCTTCTGCATTTCACTGCTAAAAAGCCTTGTTTACAGACTTTTTCTCTCTGACAAGTGCCTGCAACTTGCTGCAAACTACTGACTGGAATAGCTGGTACCAAGTTAGTACCTGATTGTACTTTAGACACACAGTTGTTTCACAGTATGCATATTGAATAAATTAGACTTGAGAAGCGGAATTCCAAATGGGTTTTCTAGTCTCCTTATTGGATTTTTTTGTCCTTCAGCATTTTCATTATGGCAGTGCTCTCCTCAATAATATTAGTTGTAAATAGCTTTATCCTGTAGGTCAACAGGTCACAAAAAAAGTCAAGACAGTCTATTAAGAGAGTAATTGAGATTATGGATTTTAGAATCCTCTACTTATAAAATGTGAAAGAGGTCAAATATATGCTCCTCAATTATACTATTGAATGAAAGGGATATTATGAAACCTACATGTGCTGGGTAAGAATTTTGTTTCAAGGGTGTTTTCTGTCATTGTCTTGCCAAATTATTTCTGCTACTGCTTAATTTACATACATATACTGAAAACCAGGAATTTTAATCCTGTAATGTTTTCTACTTCTTACTACACACATTTGAATTGCAGTATTACAGACCTGCATTAATTCCTTCCCCCTGTGAAGATGATATTCCTTTCATAAAAGGTGAACAGTGGTGCAGCAGTACTAGTGCATTTAGTCAGGGATATATAAAACTGAAGGTACTAAGCTTCAATTATTGGTCACATTCCTCTTGAGGAAAAGGAATTACACTGGCAGGAATTATCTACAGAGTGCCAAGATAGCCAGTGGAAAATTTGAATTTCTTTTCAGGAATAGAATGCTTTTCATATGTAAAAAATGTCTCAGAGTGAATCTATGTGAAAACACAGATTTTAAAGAAATCATATTAGTTTGATGTGTTTGAGGTTGAAGAGAGGTTGTATGACTGTGAAAGCCAGCAACTGATGAGTTGGCCTGCAGTGCACAGTCAGGAGCTCAAACAGGTACAGGCCTTGTGCTGTTCCAGAGAATGCCTTTTGAGAGCAGACTCTTTGTACTTCCCTATCATAGAGGAGGTTTATTCCATCAGTAGATGAACCATTGCAAGAGACATTGGCACAGGCACCTTGCCTTGGTGTGCTCTGTGAGGCTGTTTGGTCTGAATATGAGATCTGTAAGGCTGGAGTTGACTTTTTGTGGCCTGAGAAAAAATATTCCATGTCTCACAGGCAGGTCGAGCAGACTAGCATAAGCAACCTATGTCTTTTACTACCACACAGGAACGCTTGCCCTGTTCTTCATCAGAAATTCTTCACTGTCCACTCATGTTTCTCAGCTGCACAAGGCAAAGATGACTATGTAGGCTTTTCTGCATCCTTAGCAGGGAAGCCCTGGTTTTAAAGTTTTTCTGTGAGCTAGTAATAGAAGAGCATAAACACCTGACAGCTCACCCTTGCACAGGACTTGGCACCCTGCACAAATTACATATTCTCCTTGAAAAACTCTGAAGGAAGAGCTTTAAAAAACATGTCATATTCAGACACGAAATCCTCCTGCCCTGACTCCTCTAACACATCATTATACATTACAGCAGTTTTCTGCTTCAAGTCTCCTTCTTGCTGATAAGTAAAGTATCAGAATGAAATGAGAATTTATCTCAGTCTGAATTTGCCTTTCCCTGCATTCAGTATTCCTCAGTGTCACATCCCACACTCATATAGTCTTAAAAGTTCCCCTATGGTTCATTTTGGTTTGATGTGTGATTACTTCTCCCATGCTGTTCTCTTTTAGCACCTGGCACCTGATGTCTAATTATCGTGACCACCAGGAACTGACAGGATGTGGTTTTACAAATGTTTGTAATCCTCCAATTCATACATTTTCAAAACTGCAAAGTGCTTTTGTTAAATAGTTTGCAGTAAGTACATCCATGTGTAAGCTTAGTAAAAAGACATAGAGTTTCCTAAGAAGGAAGAAGGGCTAATCTTTATTTTTGAGGCTGACTAATCTACCATGGTCAGCCTGTGCAAGCACAGCCTGTAATAGTTTCTGCCTGAGACTGATTTGGAGATAAATTTTCTTGACAGATGTGGAAGAATAGCTTTTGTTATTATACTCTGTGTCATGTAAGAGAAAGCTGCAAAGCTACACCTTCCAGTACCAAAGCAACTGTATCCAGAGCTGTGCCTGCATAAATTCTCAAGGTGCAGATTCTGTCCAAAAAAAAGGTGCTACAGTTTTAAAAAAATAAGAGAAAAAGGAAGGAAAATATGAGGCATAAAAGGCTATGTAGTTGGCAAAAGGATAATTATGTGTAATCAAAGACAGTGTACATCCTAAAATTATTGTTCTAGAAGGAAATGTTTATAAATTCAGATGTGGTTTTGGGCATATATGGTGTTGTCTTACAGACAACAACAAAAAAAAAGGCATGCTGTCCTATGACATTGATCCAGAAGTTCTTATTAGGAAACCAGGCTCATTTTCTATCACAGATGCTGCTGGGATTTCACCCAGCATCCTTATCCCAGCTTAATGATTTGGGTCTCTGGAAAACAACCAGCCTTGGGGTAGTAAGAGCAGCAGCAACAAGTGACTAAGAGCTTATCATTCATGCATGAACCACTGTGTTGCCTAAGGTCATTTTAGAAAGGGCTCTCAAACAAATGAATCCTCCCAAAGCTTGAAGCCAACAGAATTGAGCTTGATCTAGGTTTTCACAGACAAAAAGGACCCTTGTGTACCTGCTGTATATCCTCAGAGCCAGTCTGCCTAATTACTCAGTGATGCCAGCATGTTTAGACTTCTACAATGCAAACTTGGTGTGTGCACATTCATTTGCTAAAATTCTTGTAACCTGCGTTCAGCCTTCTAAAATATATGGGAACCATACACAGAATTTTCTCCAGTTCTTAAAATATGCATAGTAACTATGGGCACTAATAGGCCAATTATGCTCAGTCCAGTGAGTTTACAGCTGGTCTTTGTCAGCTTTTCCCAACTACTGTGCCATATCTTGTTTGGCTAACCTTCCTGAGTTTCTTCTAATATCTACTTCTATTTCAGAAACTATATTGAACATTCCTTTCTTTACAGCAGGTAGTTTCAAGCAGTAACCTGGATTTTCTGGCATTTTCTTTAAACAACAGATTCTACTCCAGCAAGATCTCTTAAATGGCTTAAAAGTTTGCCTTGTAGGGCATAAGCCCTCCTTATGTGATGAAAAATGCTTTTTGAGTTTAGTCCTATATTAGTAGTAAGCATTGTATTTTCAGCATGTAGTAAAAGTGAAAGGAGAAAACGGGGTTTTCTAACTTCAAAGTTATTACTTTTTCTTTTAAATTTACTTTTAATTTTTTGCTTTATGAAATTTTAAATTTTTTCCTTTTTAATTTTCTTTTAAATTTACTTTAAATTACTTTTTCTTTCTAATTTGACTTGTTCTGTGTTGTTTGCCCCCTCCATTTGATAGCTTAGGTTTATTACATTTTATACAGGAAACATGGAAGTTTTTACAAGCTTCAGTTTCTCACAGATGGGCATCTAAATGCCATGCCATAAACAAAAAATAATGCAAAGACATCCTGAAGAACAGCTTAAGGCTTCAGGTCTACAAGTCTCCAAAGAAGAGGTTTAATTAAGGTTCTGGATAAAATCATAAAGAATAAAATTGTCAGAACCTGCCAATATATTGACCAATTCGATCACAGAATCTCAGAATCCTTTTTGGTGTGTTAGTAGTCATTTATACCTAAAACAATTAAAAATATGTGTTAGTTTCTCCCTTTCCTTAATGCTGGCTTCTGATATCTCTCTGACCACTCACCTCTACAGTGGGTGACATACAGGATATGATACAGGATGCAGGTCTCCTCTTGGGAAAGTACATGTCATTATTCTTTGATAGCTGTTATAACATCTTAATATTGTTTATGAAACACCAGCAAAAGTGTTCACAGTGTAAGAGAGTAGATCTTGGTTTGATCAAGGCCTTCATGCTGTAAATCAAAGAGACTATATGATCAGACAGACTTGTGATATAGCAGATTACACTTCTACTGCAGATTAACTTTGATGTTTTCTTTAGTAGAAAGAAACTGATTATATAGATGAAGTCATTAAAAGCCTTTATGGATGAAATATGTTTCAAAGAGAACCTTACAAAAAGAATGGGCGGTGAAGAAAAATTTATAAGAAGTGAGAATGAATTTGCACCAAAAAAAGAAATTTGGAAAAGCTGAAGAGTGAACAAATGAGTTCAGAAGAAAGCAGTGAACATGGAGTAATGATATAATGGTTCTTACTGCTCCCATTTTACTCTTTTTAACAGAAACAAGTCTCTCTAAAGACATGGAGACATTTTCTGTCATAATTTTGCTATTATAGAAACCAAGGAAGGGTGAAAGAACAAAGGGTCTTTAGTGATTGCAAAGAATTAGAGTCAAGTCTGAGGAGAACAAATGGGTAAGGAACCTATTGATGATTTAGATGCTGATTTGGTAAACTGGAGTCTTGGCTTCTGTTTTCTACAAGATGAGAGATTTTTGTGCCTGTAATGCTGGCTCAGGTGTCTTGGGATAGATCTGATAAATGGAAGTCCCAGAATCCTGATCCTGGAAAGCCTGGCTAAGCTACTAAAGTCTAGAAGCTGTTAACATTTTTCAATCCTAAAGATCCATGAGCTTCTAGAATTGCTGATTTTTGTATGCCCAAGCTCTTCTGATGTTGACAGGACTGAAAGGCTCAGAATCTAAACTTGAACAAGGTTCAGGAATTACGTCTTTTTCATATATGTAGAAATATATCCATCAACATCTAGTATACTCAAAAGGGCTTTTTTGGTTTTTCATGCAGATTCTAATATTTAGTAGAAGTTTGAGGCTATAGATATGTATTCTGAAAATCATATCCCTACAGATTGGAGAGCTGGAATTCAAGATATATTCCTTTTCTCAGTATTTCCTATAAGGCAGCTGGACAGCCACACCTTTGACTTTACATGGTTCCCTAGCAGTGTGTTCACATCTTTAGATCATACCTCAAGGTTCCAGCAAAGCCTGGGTGATGAACCCACCAGTATGAGGCTGGAGCAGCCCTACAGTTGGAGGCATCTATTGAATCTAACACTTTGCTTCAGATATGAAAGTAATACTGAAGTCAGTAAAGGGAACAGCAGCAGTAGCAGAGACAAACCTAGACAGCAGTATCATTTGCCCCAGTAATGTCCTTGGTAGAGCAAAACCACTTTTTTCCCACTGGTCCAATAAAATTGCCTCAATCTGCTTCTTTGGGTGATCAATGCTCATCTGGAATTTTATCACTGTCCTTTTTAGAGGATAATTTAATTGTTTTACATTTATAGAGACAAGGTAATAACCTTAGATTTACATAGAGCTAATTTCTTTCTTTGTGAGTGGGTTCTGCAGGATGTGAGCAATTAAGTTTCTGTGGGAGGATTACAGGAAACATGATTAATGGATCAAAGAGAGACCATCTAAGGGAAATGGGTATAATACCAAGGGAGATAATGCTCTTTTTCATAATACTTATGCAAATATGCCAAATGTTGGTGAATTCAATTAATATTGGACAAATGGATTCTCTGTGACGCAGAGTAAACACATACTGGGGAAACAATAAAGCTTTATTGCACATTATCTGTTAACTTCCTCTCAGACAGGCTGGGTTGCCTGGTCAGGCATCTCATTCCATTGCAGGTGGCAGGGAACAGCCAGGCACAAATCAGTGAAAGACACTGAGATTGTTTGGATGAAAAAGACTGACCAAGGCTGAATTCTTTGCATGCATGGCCAATCAGCACTTGTCAATGTCCTCAAGCCTGCTGCTCCGTTCTCTGCCAAAAGTTAAATTTTATTCCATGGAAATGAACGCTGGTTTAAGAATGAAGGAGACAGAATTAGACAATGTTTATGTTCTTTGTTCTTTATTTTATTTCTATAAAAGCAACACTAGCAGAAAAAAAAATAATTAAGTAAAAACAGAATGCCTGAGCTCTGGAAGACACTTGACTAGGACTCAAAAAAGCCCAGCTTCAGTGACCAGTATAAAATTAGTTTAATACTAATGCTATATAAAGGCAATGAATCCTTCAGGTACTGTAGTGATAGGAAATATGCAAATATCTACATTTACTGAAAACGTAAGTTGCTTATTTGCTTGCTAGCTTCTATACTGCATATGGTATTTTAATCTCTATTCTAAAATACTCAGTTCCTCTACTGTCGCTGTTGGACACTAAATGAGTCACATGGATGCAGTTTGAGGTGTGGTGAAAGAAAGAGCAGGCTTTATTTTTCTTTTCAGTATTTATAAGCTTCAGACCACAACCAGGGATTGGATAGTCAGGTTAACACCTTCCCAACCTCACTGGCCGTGAGAGATGTCCATCAAAAGGCATATCTTTAATGGAATGTATAAACGCCTTTATAAAGTATAAGTTACTTTCCTGGGAAAGTGGCTAGAGCATGTAGAAAAACAATATTGAGGGCCTGATTCTCAGGGCAACACTCTACTAAAGATTTTATATGAGGTTTTGTTCTGAAAAATCCTGATACACAGAGGGAAGGCATTTGACAAGTATACTGTCCATTTCACTCCATACAGCCTGGGCACTGAGCTAACAAAATGTGACTAGAGTTATGGAGGTTAAATTTTAAGTATGAAACTCAAGTTTGTCCTTTGGTTGCAACTGCCCTATAGCTGGCATCATGCTTTTTAGCCAGGAGCAATTCTAGGGACATCCTTTCAGTGTCTAGAGACAAGAAGTTGGGAAGAACACAAGAAAATCACCTTCAAAATCCCACGTTCCACAGAAAACCTACTCTTGGAGATGACATGCCCCTACTTGACTTGGAAGCTCTCTCAGCATTTCAAATAAGACTTCTGTGTATTGCTCTTTTCTGTGAAAGTAGGTGCCTGCTTGGTAAAAACATGATGCAACCAGAAATTACTATGTGAGCTATAAACTTGAATATATTTATCACATAAGGACTATATTTTTTTCAGTGTAAAGCATGACAGCCAAGTTACCCTTTACAGAAGTGATGCTGCTGCTGCTTTTTCAGTGCTATTGCTTTGTAGTTATCCAGTTACCCAGAGCAGTGCAGATTTGGGGTTAATCCTTAGCCTGAAAATGTCCTGCCTCAGGCTAGAAAAGTCTCTTAGGGTCACATCCTGGGCCAAAGGGACTGCTGCACATTCCAGGAGACTGGAAAGAAAGCAGACAGGGCAGTGTCAGAGAGAAAGATGGGGGGACCTGGAAATCAGGCAAAGATTGAATTCTCTGCTGTGCTCTGAATGTTCATTACATTTTACATTAGGCAATCATGAGATGAACTTTCAAAGCTAATGAATGAGTCGAGATTTCAGGAACAGGGGACTGCTAAGACACCTGTTATCCTGAGGCTCTCATAATGGCCAGCCACTAAGCCCTTGTGTGGCATTCTGGGCTACCCTGCACAGTGTCCAATTATTTTCTCTGGGAATATGCATAATTTAGTTATTTGGGTTCCCCTGCTGAGCCCAGACTTCATGATGCATAAATAGGCATGCTGGATCTCATCCTCACATAACTTAGTTGTGCATTTTCCCTTTGCTTTTGACCACAGAAAAGTATATTAGCCTTATTTTCTACTTGCAAGGCATGTGTTCATTCATTTTGATTCTCTACAGTCAAGTTACAAAATCTTAAAAATATCTTAATCTTTTCTACTAAGCCATCTGTTTAAATCAGAGATAATAAATTTTAATAAAAATTGGTATTTTCCCAAGTTTATGATTTCTTTTATCATGCAATTTTGCTGTGATCTTTGAGTTATTGCCTCTAATAGTTGACTTCCCTGTTCCCTGGCTGATTCTATCTCAAAGTGTCTTAATTTCAGTTAAATGTATCTTGGCAGACATCCACCACTGGAATCAGTGCTGAACACCACGGAGTATTCTTCTAATTGGACATAAAACTCAGAGATTTTTTTTCATATGATTCTTTGCTATACAGTGTGTGCAATTAGATTTAATGAGCTCATTTTCAGGACAAGTTGGCCAAACCAGTGCTATTACTAATTTATAGAGGCTACAGAAAAAGCTACTTGATTATTTTCTTTTCTAAATTAAAACTTTATAAGAAATATTGTTGCTGCTTTTCCTTTTAGCATGTGAATATACAAAAACCTAATTTTGGAAATGAAATGTTTTCTCAGTGTGTGATTTCAAATGATTGTTGCAGAATTTTTGGGTTTTCCTTGCAAATGTTTTGGCAACAAAGGTAAGTCTAGCATGTTCTTATGTCATGTTAATAAACCCAATTTGTGTATCATGATGACTGAGGAACCAGTAGTAGCGTAGCTCTCATGGCATGAATGGAACAAACCAGCTTGAAATCCTGTGTAAACACTTGGCAGCTGGTGCCCAAAGCCACTCTAACTACACTGCCAGCTCAAGAGTTACATGTAAAAATATTATTGGCTAACACAGAACTGGTTAAAAATGTTTTTCTCTGGAAATATTGGACACAGTCATGTGGCTAAGACAGAAGGAAGCTTTAACCATTACTGTTTGTTTTCACCAGTCCTTGCAGACTGAACAGAAACCTGAGCTGGTCTATGCTGGAAAGCTGTGTCGTGTCCAACAGACCTGATTCAAGAGACCACAGCTGAACCCCTGGAAAGATTAGAACATGAGAGCTGCTCAATCAGCCTCCTCATCATTGCAGCACTAGTAGAAGAGACAACAAAAGGAGACTGGCAGTTTGTTAGTTGAAGATGCAATGCAACACATCGGTGTTAACACACTGTTGAGAAGAGCAGCACCTGAAAAATACCAGGAGATCCCAATACTTGAGTTGGTCATTCATAAGGAAGAGTTCTTTGATGCTATTTTATGTGGTATCCTTCTGTCCTCTACCTTTAATATAATGTCAGTGGATAGATATGACAGCTGGTAGGCCAAGTTTCTCTTTGCATATGAGAAAGTGGGTATGGGAGTGGCTCTGTGGTATGCCTGCTGATGGCAATGTGACCCCCACTCCTGTCCTTTTCTTATCTGCACGCAGCTGCATAGCTTCCTCGCACCTCCTTGGCTTCCTCGCACCTCCTTCACTGGCTATTTTGTTCAGGCAAGGCACTTGCCTCAGGACCATCCCTTTCCACACCTGCAAAATGGAAATAATGCACCCATTTTTGAAAAATGCATTGAGAATTACCAGCATGAACCTCAGAACAGGGGTGGAAATTATTCCTATTGCAGTTTTACATGCTTCTACTTGCTTTGTGACAGTGTCCCATGAGCGCTTCATAAATTGCTAATTCTGAGTTACTAAGAATTACAGTCATGTTTCTGTTTGCATTGGATAGACATATACCAGGGCTTTCATGCCTGGCATCCTTTCTGCTTCTTACAACGACACTTCTCATTTATATACAGAAATAATGAGATGGAAAAATGTTAGAAGGATTGCCTGAAAGCTGCAGATCCTTCTGGCAGTAATTATTTATCTGTCCACCATTTTGTCTGTGTATATTTTATTCTCATTCAGTGTATATATAACAATAAATTAGTTGGCAGAATCAAAGCTGCTTATTTTAAACTTACAATGCTCTCTTTGGACTGACACACAAGCAAGCTGCATAGTATAGGACATATGCACATGCTACACTTGGTAATTTTTGGTGTAAATTTATTTACATGTATCTGATTGCTTTCCTAATAGAATGGATCAGTCTTCCCTCCCAAATGAAAGAGAAAATAGGAAAATTGTTTGAGATGTTGTAATGAAAGCCAATATATCTTTAGCAGAATGGGTTAAGCATCAGTACCTTGTGTGCTGTTTCTTTCACCTGTAAAGTACAAATTTTGCACTAACAATTCATTAGCATTTTACAGAGTCAACATTAACTAAATATCCTTGACATATTCCCCAAGAGAGGATAATGTCATTAACCTCTTTTACAGATGAGGAAACAATATTGGATAAACATTGCAACTCCATTGACTTCTGTGGAGTTATTCCAGACTTACACCAGTAGAAATAACATTAACTTTAGTCCTTGATATAATAAGTCATTTATTCATGGTTATCTAGTCACAAAGCTGCACACTCAGGATGAGAAACTGAAAACATCCACATTTCCTTTGTTGCCACAGTAAGATTTTCTACTGATACAGCATCTATAAACCCTTATCTAGGATATTTTAAAAAAGACAAAACAACACACCACCACAGAATCTTTCATTTTTCTCCTACTCATGTCTAGAAACAATTCTTGTGTCTAGAAAGGTCTGCATCCTATGAAAATAAATGAACAATAATTTTTTTTTATAAACTTCTAGTTCCCCAGAAATGTGAATGTTTTTTTCTGAGGAAATTTAACAACAAAAAAAGAATGATGGGCTTCCAAAGACTGCCAATGAGCAAAGAATGTAAGTTAAAGGTCTTTATATATGCAAATACTTCATTACATTTGGGGGGATTTCTTATATTCTCGAGATTTCATATTTTCTCTCTCTCTTTATTTTTTTAATTGAAAGCAAAGGAACAGTGGGGCATCGGTTACTTCAATTTACTTATGAATATCCAGAATTCACTTTCACCTTCCAGAGTGCCAGTGCTACCTGTCAGCATTTGAGGTCTGGAGTAATGTGGGAGTCTGCTTCTGACCTCTGGGAAGAAACGTGGGAGTTCAGACTCCTCTAGACAGAATGCTCTGCAGAAATTTGGGGTCTACACTATTTCTGATAAAATAGAAATTTTTTTTGCAACACATGTGTTCCATCCCAAATAGCTGGTGGCAACAGCATTATTTCTGAAACAGTGTAAGCTAAAAAATGCTTAAAAATACAACTCTCATGTCTCTAGTTAAATTAGCTCTAATGTATTAATTATAAAAATGCTCAGTTGTCATTTATGATGGACTTGCTGCAAGTGTGAGAACTAGAGCTGAAATTCAGCCTTACACAGAGGATCACTACCAAGCTTCTTCCCTAAGCCCCATTCAGAACAAGGTAAAAGTCCCACTCATCAATCTCCTTTCCTGGATTGGCCCTTATGCGCTGGCCAGTGTCACCTTACCATGTCTCAGTGGTACCCTGAGAATTCAAAGTCCTCTTGAAACCAGGTTAGGAGGTAATTGTACCCAAATTTTGAGTATTTCAGATGAAATAGTATCACAGCAAATGCTGTCCCAATCTCCTACACCTCACCATCTATGCAGAATTATTTTGACAACAAAAGAGAGCTAGGAGCTTTGAACAGTTCTAGTATAAAGTCTTTCTCCCAGTTCAGAAACAAAAATTTTCATGTCCCCTCTATTCAGAAAGTCTCATGGCTGCTACATTCTTCCACAGATTTTCTTTACAGACCTGGGCAGAACAAACAAGACCTGCTCCAACTCCTTCTGTATTCAATGGGAACAATTCAGGTTGACTTCAATCAGATTGCTTCAGGCCCTTAATCTCCCTGAATGTACCGGAATTTGAACAAGCAGCAAACACTGATATTACCAGAGAAAAGAAGGATGACATAAAAATATTTCCAAATAGAAGAGATTTAGTGGACAGTTGGAATTACACCACATATATTTTCTTTAAAGTAAATGAGCGACATGATCCAATAACAGTTGTATCTTATGCTTTCCATAAAGATTTCAAGGCATTTCATAATCAATTAACAGCTCAAGCACGTCACCATTACAGAACATTTTGCAATAAACCATTAGGAATTAATGTAGAATGAGCTTTCCATCATCACTAAACAAACCGCTACGCAGCTAGGATCTATGCCAAGCCGGCTTTGAATTTTTTAATGAAGATTATACACATTCCCTGCAAGCAGAGGATAAGTCCCTGTGCCAGGACTTTCTATTTGCCTCCTCCCCACCACCTGCAATTTTTTTATGTTTAACCATTTCTCTGTACTTTGGTGAGATTAATAAAATCCAGTGCTCTGTGCTGCATTACCTTCAATTCAGATATTTAGGACAAGATGGATCACAGTAAATGCAATATGGAGGAGTTACACTCCTGTATTGAAAATCAGTCCCTACAGCGATTTCATGTTTCTCTGAACCATTCCTTAACAGATCTGTGGGTAAAAATTCCAAATAGACTTTAGTTGCCTCCTCCCAAGTCTTGCTACTCCTATATTTTCTGTTTAATAATTCTGGGCATATCCCTACCTCCTCCAATTAAACACAGTGAAGAGGGTGACAGCACATAAGTAGGCTTTTCCAAGCTGTTGTCAGACCTAGAAATAAAGTGCCTGGCCCTTACAGGTATTTTAGGGCAGCAGTTACACAATTAGGCTCCTTATATTCCAGAGATAATGTCTGGATCTAAAATTCAAGCTTGCACCTGAACAGCTCCCTCGCATGGCACCAGCAGGCTATTCCTTCTCCACCTGAAGCACTCTGGCTTCCCCCACTAATCTGCCCAGCAACAGTTTGTCCCTTCCTATCTGCAGCAGCCGGCTCGTGTAAGCATCGTGCTCCCAGATCAGCTGCAGCAATTTTTGGTATGATTTACAAGGGGAAGAAAAAAAAGCTGCTTCTTCAAAGATTCGAGTCTTTAGGCATCTGACTTTTGGCCCCCACCCTGACAGCATCACACGGGACGTAACTTTCAAGCTGTTTAAGTGAGACGTGTTTTTGTTTAACAAAGACAGCACACAGTCTATGATTAATCTTTTGCATGAGAGACATGGCAGTTTCCCCACTGTTGTGCAAGACAATATGGTTTGATTGCTTCTGCCTCCTGTCAAGCCTCCAACTGGAAATGTGTAATATGAAATGAAGTGCAGTAAAACAGATAAGAACGTGCTGAGGTAGTTAAAATGATACTGCAGTAATTAAGGCTCTGTATCTGTATTAGAAACAAAATAAGCCCACTGTTTGGTTTGATTAACACTGCAGGACTGTAAGGTTGCCAATGACATATCTCTGTACAAAGCAGAAGATGAGAGTCCAAGAGTTGTCCCAATGGGAAGATGCGAGAGTGGAGAAGCTGTACCAGCTGGAGCTACCAAGAGCCGTCCCAGTGTGTAAATATGAGATACCAAGAGCTGCCCTAATGGGGAGATGTGAAAGTCCAAGAGTTGTCCCAAAGGGAAGTCAACAGACCAGAGGCTACAAGTCTGGAAGTATAGGGGCTGCACCCTGCAGGTTCCAGCCAGCTCCAGTTGGTTCCAGCTGATTCCAGCTGCTCTCTTGTCGGGCATGGCCCTTTGTGATAGAGGAGTGGCCCAGCCCCTCCATTACATACCGTGTTCACAACAGTGTCCTGCACACTTTCCCTAAAAGCAGGAAAGTTTGACAGTAAAAGGTGCACAGTGGGAATATTTGATTTATTTAAGGGTTTTTAGGAAAGGTTCTCTCCCAAGCAGAAACAGGAAAACTGTTCTTGCAGCAGCTATAGCAGCAAGTTACATAGTGACAGGTCACTGTATTTTTGCTAATATATATTGTATTGTTATTATGCACTTAGAGCAACAACAAAGACTGAATGCCAGTGGCAGAAAAAAAATCTAGCAGCAACTGACTATATAAAGCATGAGAAATTCCTCCTGTGCGTGCCACATTAAAAAAAAGAAGTCAAGAGCTCATTAATTCCCTGCACCAAAACCAATTTGGTACTGCCTAGAAGAGCAGTACTGAACTGTGAATTGTTCTTATTTATACTATATCATGCAACTTGATAAAAAAATCAGACTAAACAACTTGCTCTGCTCCACACAGCTCAGAATCCAAGCAACGAAGTTTACTGCTAGGCATCTGATCCATCAATTCTGTTCTTTTGCCCTTGGTTCCCCTCTGTGTCCAGCTGCACTTCTTTTACTCTCCAAAAGAGTCATTAATTTCTGCATCTTTTGTGAAGTAATGGTCCCTCTTCTTCGGAGAAGAGATGCAGTCTGTGCACAACTGTGAAGTTACACCCATAGCTGTGCACTCTGTGCAGTGTATGTAAAAAATGGGGAAAGGGTGGAAGCATAGAGTCCCATTGGCTACAAGTGGGACACATGACAAAAAAGGAAAAAAGTACCTCAAACTTTTAAAGAGATCAAGGGAAAATGAATGAAACTATTCTCTCCAAAAGATATACTGCCTCTCTTTCTTTTCCCTCATGCTAATCCTGCCTTGTCCTGTATGCAGCCTTCATCTCTCTTTCTGATGAGGGAGATACTCATGCAGTGTAGCCTTGCTCAAACTGAGAGCATTCTTATTATGTCCCCCAAAGTGAATGTATCAACTGACCCAACTCATCACCTGGAAATGGCTGTGTGTGAGCCAACCCCAGCTTTCTGAGTTGTCAGCTGTGCAATGCTCATTGCTGTCAAGCTCAGCAAAGTCAGACCTTTCCCTGTGGTGAGCTGCAGAGTGATGGAGCAGGTGCAGACTTCCAGCAACAGCTTTCCCAAAGAGCTACTGCTTCACACTCCCCATGTGACATAACAAATATGAGGGCTTCTCTGCCCTCATTCCTTCTGCTAGATCAAAAACCAAACCACTGCAGCCATTATTTCTAAATAAGGATTAAATTTAGAGGAAGTCATACCAGTACCAGCCATAGTCTTGTGACCACTGTACTGCTACCAAACTGCTTTGGATTAGGTTCAAGGCTGAGCTCTTCTGGGCCTGCTGGATGCTCCTGATAAGTGTTTTTACCTAACAACTCACTGATAAGGACTCAAGTTTGAATGCAGCCCAGGGCAGAAGTGCCCCAGTTACTTCATTTGCCTTAAAGGTTTGAGCTTGTTTTTCCATGGAAGTGCCATAATGTCAAAGTTACAGAGCACTCTGAATGTCTATCTTACCACTTTTGCTGAAACTGTTCCACTCTACATGGAATAACTGATATTCAATATTCATGAAATATTGATAATAATTGATGATGGGACCTGATAAAGTATGCCTTGTAACTTAGTGATTAAGGTGGGAACTGGAAGAGGAATGGGGCTTCTTGTCTGTTCTCCAGGGAGCATATGAGTTTTAATTTACTGAGTATGTTATGGAAAACTTAAGGTGAATGCTAAGCAGGCAATGCACAATGACACACACTTAAATTTGCTCATACCACTACGTGGAGATGAACAGCTGTGGCAGAGGAGCATCTTTACCACTCACTTCTCCTATGCAGATCACAATTAGATTCTGGTGCATTTTGAAGTGACTTCAGACTGTGATCAGTGCAGCACTTGGGGATAATCCATAATTTTGGAGGATCAAGTGCAGCCATACAGGTGTAGTGCAGCGGAGCAACTTCCTCTAACTGCAGGTAAAGGGGAAGGACCAAAATCTCCACCTTCCTTGGATGCAGAGTTTAAATCAGCTCCTGTTCCATTCCTCCTGGGCAACAATGTCAGGCTATGATAAACTTCAGTAGGTCCCTAAGATGAAGTGAAACCTATTTAAAGTTGTTGGGGTGGTTTTTTGTGAGCTTCACACATAACAGTTAGGAAAAATGATTAATACAGTCTCCAGAAACTAGAAGATTCCCACTGATTCCAGAGGTTCACAGATAGAACCCCAAACCAACAATCTTAATTTTTAAGAACTGTTGAGAATCTAGACTAGTCACACTTTTTAACATAAATATTTTGTTTGGAAAGCACCGTTTCTACAGAAGTGTGGGGGGAGAGGATTATGTGAAATTATCAATTTCAAAGCAGTTTCTATTAGGAAATAGTAAATATCTTCCTCTTTCCATATTCTCCAAATTAGAAATGTTTAACTCAATATGGTTTGCCATTTAGGGATGGACCTCATAAAAACAGTTGAATTGAAGCAAAAAATTTGGAAGAGTAAGGTAAAACTTGAGAAGTCATCTAGGATTATTTTTTTTTATTTAAAAAATTAATAGAGACAATTTCCATACCACTCATTTCCCTGCCCCTGGAAACCTTTGTTCCACTTGGAATAAGCAAATCTTCGGTCCTATCAGGAATACAAAAAGGTTATTTCAAGATTTTGACAGACAGAAAAAAATACTTTTCAGCTCTACCAAATAGTCTACTGTGTCTCAGAGCTGTAAATATAGTTTGCAAATCTTGCATCTGTTTTTTGTTTATAGTGATGGTAAGATATCTGTGTAGGGTAAGTCAAGTTTTCCATGACAACAGTGTGTACTTCTACATTTCTAGCTACTGGTGGTTGAAAACACAAGAATAAAAGCATACAGAAAGAGGACCTTAAGAAAAAAACAATCCAGCAAGACTTTCAAAAGACAGAATTAGGTAATGTATAAAGTAACTGAGCTTGTTGAAGTAGGTAATTGTATTAGTATTGACTCAGTGTAACCATCTCTCTTTCATAAATGAATGCTTTGCATGACTGGTTTTCTGTGTATAAATGCATTGGATTTTTTTCTTGTTATTGAGTTTTATAGGGAAAAAACCCAGCTACACAGATGGAGGTGAAGAGAACTAATCTCTAATATTTTGTATGAGAGGAATTATCAAACATAGGTAGCAGTGAATCCAAATGTGACTAGATATTATATAACACTTGCTAGGGTGTATAATCATGTTTATCTCCGCTGGGAAAAGATCCAAAGCCAGAACTCCAAATCTGAAGCCATCAGGAATGTACTATTTCAAATACCCCCACCCCTGACTGTGGGCTTCTGTGTGGGTCCAGTTTCAAAATAGAATTTCATGCTCAGCCCAGCTTGGTGAGATTGCTCCTGTACTCCCTCATGCTGAGTAGCACCTACTCATGGAAGTTATTAGACTGAAGGAGAAGGGGAGGGGGTAAGAGTATGTCCCCACTTCAAGTCTCACAACACTGAAAAAAAAAAAAAAGAAAATAAAAAGAAAATAAGTGAAATATATATCTTTGCATTATAACTATAAAACCTTGAGGGGGAAAAAAAAGGAAGTTATGAATTTGGCCTCTGGGATCCAAGGAACTGAATTATTAAGTATGTCCACAGATGTAATATTAGATATTATATTCATGGATACAATGTGGAGAAAGACTTTGGAATTGAGCCCAGAAAGAATTGCTGATACAAGACAGTTCCTTATGTTTCTCCTAAAATCTCCAAATCTGATATTATTAAATAAAAGGGTTTGGGGGCTGGAATTAAACCTGCATAGTTTTATGAGGAACAGGTCTTTACTGCCTAGTTCAATCTGTATGGAAATATAACCCTCAGACTTTATAGTCAAGTTACAGACTTCTTTTTAGAGGCAGGTCAACAGGAACCACACATTCTCTTTTAATCTTGCTATGTATTAAAATGTTTTATAGTGACATCATTAGTGATATTACTGGAACCCATCTGCAGCCAGAATCTACTCCACTCCTCCACCCAACTGTAAGCATAAACCCTCAACCCTTTCTTTCTGACAGAAACGTATGCATTCGTCTCATGACTGATCTCTTCCTTAGGCCCAAAGCTGGATGGTGAGCAAGACATTCCAACCAGCCAGTGTGAAATCTTCACCCTCTCTAGTCTCCAGTCCATCCAGCACCTCACTTTCGATGGGTTTGGTGGAGGAAAAGAAAAATAAAATACATCTGGCCAGTTTTGCCCAGGCAAGTGAGGGGCCAAGGTAGAGAAAACTTCCTAACATCTTCAGAAAATAATCTGAGTCCTGAGAGATGACATTTAATTACACACATTAGTGTAATACAGAACTACAAGTACTATGAGCAAAGTAAGGACTATGAGCACAATTCTGCTCACTGTACCACAATCCACAAAGAAAAGAAACTCTTCATGGATTCATGGTTCTGGAAATCAAAAGGAACTACAATGTCTGCAGCCCATAATCTTAGTACAGGGGCTATAAATTTCTTCCAGATGATTTAAGCATACTTTGTAAAAAAAAATAAAATAAAAATCAACTCTTACTTTAAAAAAGCAAAGTTATAGTGATCCACCACTTCCCTGTGAAAGCACCCTACTGTTTAATTATTCCCACAGATTGCAATTTATTTCAAGGTTAAATATATCTCACTCTGCTTTTGCAATATCATCAAATGTGAAGACCCATCACAAAGAATTATAGTGACATCTATGTCAAAAAGCACAGAACCCATCTTTCCGCTAAACTTGCTAAGCACAAAGCTGGATAATCCTGCTATGTGATTTTCTAATGTTATCTGGAGATACTCACGCTCCCTTTAATTACATTATTTTACTTCCAGAGTCACTGTAAGGTGATCATCAGGGAGGCAAGAGGAAGCAGAAGGCCCTGTTATGTGCCAGAGAGAATGAAGGGCATGCTGTAAACAGTATCTATGTGCCAAATGCTACTGAATCTTTCAACAGATCATTGAGCAGTCAACAGCTCTGGTCTGGAAATACACTGACTGTTTGTAGAGAAAAGTCCACAACCAAACTGGTCCTTTGGATATCTGGCTGCTATGATTTTGGAAAAAAAAAAAATATCTCACAGCATTAGTACATTTATATACATAAGGGAAGCAAATTATCTGCTGAAATTCATGACACTACACATTAAATTTAAAAACTAAAGCTTTTTACACATAAGTTCCTCCAAAACATTTTGTCCTCTAACATCAACAGCAACAGAAGAAGCTGGTGGCTGGTGTGAGAATCTTAATTGAAGTGACAGCAAGACTTTGCCAGTTAAGTATATTTTTATGTCAAGAAGAAAAAATAGAAAATGTCAAAATATACCTAAAAGTAACTACAAGCATGTAAGCTAATAAAATTAGTTTGCCCTTCATTCTTTTAAAGTCTCAGCTCTTCCTGTAAATAGTCAACTTCCTACAATTCCTAAAAGTTCAGTAAGAGTTGAAAGCACTAAGTAACTCGCAGGAAGCTGCTCAGCACTGTGCCATGGTGTTTACAGAGCAGAGTTTGAAAGTCTGGCTGGTATGACAGGTTTTTCAGAGAGAGACATCTTCAAACAAAGAAGATTCTCATGCATAAGTCTTCAGGGATTCACTGTAAGTCACATAGCTGTTAACACATTTAGGTTGATTGAATGCGAGAATGTTATACGTAGACATCAACTTTCAAGAGGGTTGTGATTTAGGGACCTGCAGGTGTTGCTTTTGTAAATTTCATAGAGTTCAGTGCCAAAAGAGGACACAGTGTGAAAAATTATAAGCAGATCAACTAAAGCATTTTTTTCAATAGAATGTACCGAAGAAAGCCTTGTCAACGTCTGTGACTTATCTTTCCACTTTTGTAAAACATGGTACAGGTGTAACTGTCTATTCTGACTTTTAGTCACAATATTTAGCTACCTGAAAGATAAAGTATAATGAGACACTATACATTTCTCCTTGTTCGGTTTTTCCCAGTTTTGGAACTGTGAGCCCTTGAAAGCAGATGACATACTCAATTATTATCAAGTAAATTTTTTATCTGTCGTTTGATCACTTGTGACAGCGGATGAAATATAAAAAGACTAAACTTGCACTACAGAATTAGCCTGCAAAATACACTGGCATGTATCCAACACACAAAATAGAAATTATCCCTCAGAAGTTTCTGAATAATATTTTTATGGTTTTTGGGTAAGATCAGCCAAAGTTCTGGTGACGTCACATTTCCATAATATCGTTCAGAATGTTACATATCATGTTCTGCTAAAAAAGGAATCTTACAGTTCAAGAGTTCTGTTGCAACCTGGAGTACAAGGGAAAAAGCATAGTGTCTTAGTGTGTGTTAGTCTTAGCTTCAAATGTTTATAGATCAGATTTTCTCCTTTTGTAAATCAATATAATTCCACTGACTTCAATGGAGCTATGCCAAGTTAACACCAGCAGATGAATCCAGTCTTTTGTTTTGTGTCAAAACTCACATCTTCTAAAGGTTATTTTAGGCTCTATGCTGGGCAAACTGTTGTGACTGTGAAAGTGTTATTCAGGTTTCAGAAAAAGGATTTCTGCAGGATGGCGACAATACAAACCAGCTCCTTCTTGTCAATATAGCCCAGCTTTCTGTTTGAAGAGCTTTTTCCATAATTTGTAAAGTCAGAAGAAAGCACTGTGATAATTTACTTTGGCTTTCTATATTTAGAGAGGTCATCATAATTTCTAGACCCAAGTCGGGAAAGCATCCTGCCTCAATTTAGACATTATTATTATTATTGACAGTTTTTCAGCATGTATATTACTTTCCCTTTTTATTTGCTTTCATGTTTTTAATCTCATTCTTAGTGTGAAAATGTTGAGCTTTAACTTTAAACAGTCTATTCCTAGGATCTTGTTCCATACATAGTTACTTCCAGTCCTGAGCTGCTGTGCTCCTTAAAGCACCTTTTTGATATACTTCTTGTAGTACAGACTGAGCTCCAAAGATCTCCTCTCCAGAGAAGAAAGAGCATTATAGTCTCCGCGACAGTTCAGCGAGTGACATCTATCATGAAGCAATCACTGAAAACACTGACTAAACGCCATGTGGATTTCTCACTTGTCCGAAACTACCAAACTACTCTCTAATAATAACAAATGGTCACTTGTGTTTTGAGGTAGCTGGTGAGTTAGAAAAGAAAGCATTCATTATCCATCACCTCAGGTACCACTGTTACCAGGACATAAAAATTTCTTATCTTTCAGTGCTGAAATGACTCAGTTTGTCTTTGACTTCACTGGCAACAGAGAAATACCATAAAATGGAATTAATCTCACCCCACTTTAAATGTCTAAATCTGATCTACTTCTTATGCACTTTTCATAGTCAGAAAAAGATAAATAGGCACTTCCACGGCACCTCTGTCCCACACAAAGTTTGACAGATCATCTAGTCTGAGTGTTGGAGGTAACTGTGAGATCTCCACGTTGAATCTTATGAGAGAAAGAAGACTCTGATGATGAGATTTAGGGGAACTCTCACAGGAGATTGATATGAACAGAGAATAAGGAAAACAACAACCCAAAGTAAATCTGAAGAAAGTGTGGACCAAAAAAGAAATCAAAAGAAAGGCAAAGGAGTTATTGGAAGGCAAAGAGACCAGCAAAACCCAGGGGTGTAACTGCACAGAGGTGGAAAGTATTTGTGACGTGGTTCTGCCACTCGTTGGAGAAAAAGTCCAAAACTGCCAGAGACTGTGAAAATCACAAATCCAGAGTCTTGGCAAGCAACTTCTATTTCTTATTGTCACAAAATACTTTGCCAGTTGGGAAAGATATGATCTGTAAGGTTTTGCCACTCTTAAGTTCCCAGAGAAGGAAACAATATTGAAGAGAAAGGACCTTATAAGTGTACATGTATATGAACCCATCCAATTATACTTTGCATTAGAACTTGTACTGAACACCAGAGTTTCTGCACTTCAGTTGCACATTGTGTGTGATTTTTTTCTCGTTCTCTCCATACATGCATATACCTAAAACCACACTTATTTATTAAAAGACTAAGCTGTTACTGTCACAGAAGTAGGATACAACAAAAGGACAAATACTGAATTTGGCAATAGCATTTCCCACACCTTTACAGTACTGCATAAAACAAATCTATAAATTCTGAGCAGCTTTATGGGGAGATTACTGCACACTGACAGTTCAACCTGAAAATATCTTTTTTTTCTACATTAGGAATAAATAATAAAGATTATAATCCTGGCAGCAGATTTTACACCTACATCCAAAGGACGTGTAGGTTTATTACCTACTATTACCTACTACCTAGAACAGTGCAATGTCTTAAAATGTGAGCCAAATCTTCTACTGAGCTATACTGCAGACTTCAGTGCTGCAATCAATACTCCCAAGAGCCCTATTTTTCTTGGACAGGAGACATACGTATATCCGATATTTGAGGAAGCCAGGTGAATAAATCAATAGCTAAACAAAAATGCACTTAATCATAGCTGTTTTGGACAGATGCAGGTTGGAAAACCTATATGGCCCAGGCACTGTCTTCTTAAAGCTCAGACAGGAAGCTCTGTTTCTTAAATGGCAACATCCTGTTGCTGGGCATCGCTAAAGCTGGAGTGATCACTGTAGCAGGTAATTCTGTGCTAGCCTTAGACAGATCTAGTGCTCAAACTTCTAAGTTCCAGTATAGTTTGTTGTTGGAATACTTTAGTATAAATATGTAACTTAATAACCGCCAAATTATGTACTTTGTAAGTTTAACAGCTTTCCTGGAAAATGTAGCAAAGATTCACACATTCACTTTAACCTTAAATTGACTTGGCTGCATTTTCTTACTTAGAGTCAGCCCAAGGAGGAATTTAATATACACCCATAATTTATCTTTTCTTAATGGTTTTAAGCGGTGACCATTATTGGATATTTCTCATGGCACTGCAAGTGATCATTAAGCATACATAATAGCCCTACTAAATGAGTAGATAACTCTAATGCCAAAATTTTCCCTGTTCAAAGGTACGTTTGTGCATGGAATCACTGCTATGCTTAAAGGTGCCCCTTTACTTGACATTACTTAATAAAGCCCTTTGAGATAACCACAGTGCAAGAGATGTTTTAGAAAAGCACAATTTTATTTCTTCTCTGCTTTAGCCCTAAGCGGTTCAGCATTATTTGAACATCAGCAACAGCACTTCTTTACGACTTCAAAGTCAGAACCCAACCTCAAATTGGCAGTGCACCTCGAGATTAAAACTGTGCCCGGCACTCTGAGAAATGGATGTTTCCAGCAGAAAGAAGAGCAACAGGAGGTAACAACAGGACAGTCTAAGACCACTCAATTACAAGGTTTATTAAGGTTACACTAAGGTGCCTGTCATGAACACTCTGACAGAAAACACTTTAAGAAAGGCACGAGGAAAAGGATGAAACCACTAAGCTTGGAAAGAGTTTTGTAGCTGTTATTAACCTGGAAGAAGGGCAAGATTCCTCCCAACCAACCTTTTCAGCAGAAAGCTGTGTGTCAGAGGCACTGCAACCACTGCAAGCCCAAGAAACGTCTCTTATTCTCAATATGTGTAATCCTGACAAGAAGAAAAGACAAATAGATGTCTGAGATCTATTTTCCACCAGATACAGCTTCTGTCTGTTTAGGAAGGTGGTGAGAGGTCTTTTCTCCGCAGTAAGAAAGCAGAGCAGTGTCTCACTGACACTCTGTGGCAGTCAGCCTAAGCCACGGGAGCTGGGAGGCAGCTGCAGGTGTTTTGGGGTGTCGCCGGTGCAGAGACAGCAGCAGCTCAGGCTGAGTGTGACAGGGCTCCCCAGC